TTAAAATGTCACCACCAATACCAATATTGTATCAGTATTGGTGCAACACTAATCAGCACCAGTTCAGGACTAGAATCATAAACTGTATAGAATCGGATTCAGAACAGAATCAGATTCAGCACAGAATCAGCATCAGCACTGAAACAGTGTAAGCTCAGAATCAAATTAATGCACTCCACACAATCAGAATCTGCTTAGATCAAAATCAGATTTGGCTCTGAATCAGAGCTAATCAAATAAGAATCAGCAGAGCACAGAAATGTCAAATTTATAGAGAATCAGACTACTGAATTTTCCCACCTGCTCCTCAGTTTGGATGATGGCGATCGTGTAAATGAGCATATATAAATGTGTTTTATCGTTAAGCCCATCACACACTCTGATAAAGGATTCAGTTTAGATTTTATTAACATCCTCTGGTACAGTGTGACCTGCAGTAACCCAGTCTGCATTTATTAGCATTAATGTGTTCTGATTGTTTATCAGGAGAATAAATGAGCGTTTGAAGTGGTCGGAGCTGTTTGTTATGCAGATTTGTGTTTTAAATGCAGTTTTTATGGAATCTGGCTCCAGGGGTGTCCTCTGATGTGGTACGTCTGGTTCTGCTCTGATGGCAGGGAAGTTGTGGAGCAGGTTTATTGTCTGGCTTTTATCTTGAATACAGTGAGTTTATCTGAGAGGAATCACCTCACAGATAATTGTTTTTAATTAACTATGCACCAATTATGGAATTTCTCAGCCAATATGTTAATGGCCAATGAAAACGAGTCCTTAATTGCAGCCGATATCAGTAACATCAGTGTTCAATTTTATCCTCTTCCAGTTCACTACACACTGCGGCCAGGTAGTTACACCTGAGCGAGGTAGTCACACCTAAACCAGGTAATTGCATTTGAACCTGGTAATCGCACCACAGCCAGGTAATCATACCTGAGCCAGAGAGTTGCACTGCAGCTAGATAATCACACCTGAGTCAGGGAGTCACACTGCAGCTAGATAATCACACCTGAGTCAGGGAGTCACACTGCAGCTAGGTAATCACACCTGAGTCAGGGAGTAGGTGTAGGCTGAGGCTGTAGCTTATTTTGCCTCCTCTTTTTTTAACCGAACATACTGTAATAGACAAAACAAAAACAGAAGCAAGAACAAGAGATTCCAAACATTTCATACACAATAATGATCAAACCATCATTTTATATTTGTTTGCCACCTTACATTTAAACATTTTTACGAAGGTTCGCTGGTGACATCGTGTATAAATAAAATTGGCCACCCTGTATAACGTGTGGGAATGAGTTAATTAAGTTGTGGCCATGACTTAGTAAAGGCATTACCACACCTTACTAAATTCTACGACTTAGCTGCGTGAATGACATAATTAAGTCGTGGGTAAGTAATTAGTAAGGTTTGGGAACAAGTTCATGGCTTATTAAGCTGAGGTCAAGGTTTAATTATCTCGTTCCCAAGCCTTTCTAAGTCATGGCCACGACTTAATTATCTCATTCCCACACATTAATATGGCGTGGCCACACATTATTTTTATTTATATGGGATGTCACCAGTGGTGCTCTGTACATTTTTTACAATAAATTCCTTGAATTTTAAATTAATTCCTAAGTTCATCCCTTTGTTAGATAAACATTTATTTATTTTTAATATTTGTTCTTACCTGTGTTTTTGAAACATACCTGTCCCTCACATTTCATTTTAAACAACGTCTAAACACAGTAAGTAAATTATTTTATGCTTAGTACTTTATCTGTGCAGTATTAAAGTCAACTAGATCACACAACTTTAAAAGCATGTAAATTAATAATAGTGTGTTGGTTGGTTCATAATAATCTGATCGATTTACAGTTCTTATAGCTTGTGTAGCATGAAAATTGGATTCATTTTCATTTTGTTGGTCTTTTTCTTTTTTGAAACTTTCTTTCATTGATGATTTATTTTCTTGAGTGGGGAACTCTGGAATTCTGGATCTCTGGGCCTGAAACACAGACCTCTGCAGTGGTAACTTTGCTTTGCTCTGGATAAATTTATACTGTCCCTGATTGTAAACAGCCCTCAGCCTGAGTGTAATGGGTGTGTAATGAGAGACTGAGATGTAATCTAGCCGTAAAATCCTGGAGGTTTGGTCTCTCAGTGAGCGTCTTTATTCCGCTTTAGTTCACTCTAATGGCCTTCAGCTCTGAGTAGTCTTGCCATGATCTCTAAACACACACAGCCTTTATTATTCACTTCTGCAGATAAGCTGGTGAAACAGAGACTCACTCTGAGCTGAAATGTTTTAAATGAAAAACTAGGAAAAACTAGTTTTCTATACTTTTTTACAGAGTTTAATAAACATTCAAGTTTTAAACCATGCTATTCACTCCACACAACACACAGTCCATAAAAACGGAGCTGTAAAAAAAGCTGTTACGAGTTCATTGTTTTTGTGATGTCACAAAACCAACTAAATTAAATATATCCTATTCAGACCTATCAGCACACAGCATTTAGCTCCTCCCATTCACCCATTTTGCCCCACCCATTCAGCCCACACCATTTAGCCCCACTCATTCAGCCTACAGTCATTTAGCCCCGCCCATTCAGTCTGTAGCAGTTTAGCCCTGCCTATCCAGCAGTTAGCCCCACCCATTCAGCCCATATGTATTTAGCCCCACCCGTTCAGCAGTTAGTCCAGCCTATTCAGCCTACAGCTGTTTAGCCCCACCCATTCAACAGTTAGCCCCACCCATTCAGCCTACAGACGTTTAGCCCCACTCATTTAGGCCAGAGCTGTATACACACTGCTAACTCTGCTTCCAGATCTGATGTGGCCTGTGCCATGTTTAGTTCCACCCAACTCAAAATAAACTGAGGAAAATGACAGTAAAAAGTCATTTGAGAAATCTCTCAACAGAAAAGACTAACAATGTTTTTTCTCTGCCAGTTCAGTGTACAAAAACTATAGATAACACAACCCCATTTACAAAAAAGTTGGGACGCTGTGCAAAATGTAAATAAAAACAAAATGCAGTAATGTGCGAATCGTTTAAACCCTATATTTCTTTGAAAATGCTTGAAAGATAAACAGAAATTTTTATTGTTTTTTGAAAAATATGCCCATTTTGAATTTGATGCCAGCAAAACGTTCCAAAAAATTTGGGACGGGGGCAACAAAATGCTGGTAAAGTTGTGTAATGCTAAAAAAAACACCTGGTGGTTGATTGGCAACAAGTCAGTAACATGTCTGGGTATAAAGAAAGTCTTTTTAGAATCTTTCAGAAGTAAAGATTAGGAGGAGTTCACCACTCTGTGAAAGACTGCACAAGCAAATAGTGCAACAATTCAAGAATATTTCTCAACATAAAATGGCAAAGAGCTTTTGCTGTTCATCATCTACGGTACATAATAACATTTAAAAGATTTAGAGAATCTGCAGAGAACTCTGTACGCAAGGGTCAAGGCCAAATACCAGTATTTTTGCTGGCCGTGATCTTTGGGCCTTCAGGCAGCACTGCATTAAAAACACTGTCTGTGAACACAGTATAGGATCCTGAAATGCAGCTACCTTCTCTGTGCCGAGCTCATTTATAAAGGAACGAGGCGAAGTGGAAAAGTGTTCTGTGGTCCAGCAAATCAAAATTTGGAATTTTTTTGGAAATCATGGACGCTGTGTCCTCTGGGCTAAAGACCACTCAGCTTGTTATCAGTGCACAGTTCAAAAGCCAGAATTCAGAATTCATGATGGTATAGAGGTACATTAGTGCACAGGGCGTTGGGTGACTGGCACATCTGTGAAGGCACCATTAATGCTGAATAACATATACACCAATCAGGCATAACATGGAGTGGATCAGACACAGCAGTTTTTAAACACCTCAGTGTCACTGCTGGACTGAGAATAGTCCACCAACCAAAAATATCCAGCCAACAGCATCTTGTGGGCAGTGTCCGGTGACCACTGATGAAGGACTAGAGGATGACCATCACAAACTATGTAGCAGCAGATGAGTTATCGTCTCTGACTTTATATCTACAAGGTGGACTGACAAGGTAGAAGTGTCTAAGAAAGTAGACAGTGAGTGGACACAGTGTTTGAAAATCCAGCAGCACTGCTGTGTCTGATCCACTCGTACCAGCACAACACACACTAACACACCAGCACCACGTCAGTGTTACTGCAGTGCTGAGAATGATCCACCACCCAAATCAAGAACAGGGTAAAAGGGGGCTAACAAAGTATGCAGAGAAACAGATGGACTACAGTCTGTAATCTTAGAACTACAGAGTGCACCTATATAGTAAGTGGAGCTGATAAAACAGGCAGTGAGCGTGGGAACAAAGAGGTGGTCATAATGGTATTCCTGATCGGTGTACATGTTTTGGCAAGATATGCTGCCATCCAGATGATGACTTTCTCAGGGAAGGCCTTATTTATTTTTATAATGCGATCTCGTGACAAGATGGAATGGAAAGGGCGATTCTACAGATTCAGGAAATGTTTGGACTGTATTTCTGTGCTGGGTTATCACAAAGATACAGGAACAGATATAGAAAAAGAGAATTTAACATGCTGGCGAGTTCTTCAACTCCAATGGGGTTAATTGTAGGGGAGAAAGAGAGGTTGTAAAATGGACATGTAGAAATGAATTATGACTCTCTTTGGTACATAAAACCACACAAATGTTATAAGTGGAGCTCAGAGAGAAAAATGACAAAAGACAAATAAAGGATACTAAATATATGAAGAAAATATTATTACACTGGTCACTGTTACTTTTCAGTGTAAGAAGAAACCTTGTAAATGTTTAGTAATCATAAAGCAGCTGTTAATTTATTAATTTGTGCTCATTTATATTTATCAATATTCACAATCTTGAAAATCGACCGAAAAATAATTTTTTTTTGGTTTCCAAACTTTTGACAGTCAGCGTAAGCCTTGTGGGCATCTTTTCGGTTCTGCTGAGGTCATTTCATTTGACTTTCTGCTCTGTTCCTGTGTTCCTGTGCAGGTTTACGAAGAACCTCTCTCCAGATAAGATCAACCTGAGCACACTGAAGGGTGAGGGTCAGCTCTCTAACCTGGAGCTGGATGAGGAGGTTCTGCAGAACATGTTGGATCTGCCCACCTGGCTGGCCGTCACCCGTGTCTACTGCAACAAGGCCGCCATCAGAGTGAGTAGAGAACACTTTCGGTCCTTCTCTGAGCTGTTCATGTGATCACAGCCAGAAACAGCTGAGCACATCTGTCTGCTCATTCATCAGCAAGTGCAGCCGTGTGATGAACGTGGACCCTTGGGCCTTTTCAGCTCAGATGACACTTTTCAGTGAGCTCTGTGTCAGTGGAGACAGCGCAAAAATATATCACGATAATTCAAGATAGGCCTGCATGATATTGGAAAAAACTAACATTGCAACATTGTTTTTTACATATTGATTACATATTGTGATGAAAAAAAAAAATTACCATATGACTTGAATAACTACAAGAATTCATCAATTTGGAATTATTAGGGTGATTTTATAGGGGAGTGCTTCTGTGTAGAAAAAAAATAAATCTTTGTTTTTTAAAAAGCTGAAAAATTTCTTTTTACTCTTAAGACTTTCTAAATTTTAATGCTGTACAGTTGTTTCCAACTAGGGATGCATCAATACCATTTTTTTCAGACCAATTATGTATTTTTTAGTACTTGCCAATACCGAGTCCAATACTGTACTCAGTAACTTACTTAGAATGAATTAGTTATTAGTGTAAATGAGTGCAATGACTGTAAAAGTGATTTTAAATGAGGTACATTAGCTAGCTCTGCTACATTAATGATCTTGGATCGAGCAGCGCTTCAGTGGAGGAGAGCGGGTTTTGTTCACTAAAGTAGTTCTTTAAAGAGTTATTTACAGATTTTTACTCTCATTGAGAAAACATAGATTACTGTTATTTAAGTAACACATACATACATTCATTCATTCATTGCACATTTTAACATTTTACAGATTCATTTGTATATTTAATTATTTATTTACAGTGTGGATTAACAGAGTTTTTCACAGCTGTGTTTGTTAGGATGAGTGAAATTGAAACTCAGACAGGAAGCCTGACAGGTGTTAAGGTGCAAATGGAAACTGTCCTAGAAATACTGAATATGTAAAATACCCTTTAAGTCTTTTAAGTAATACATATTGATAATAAATTTAGTAATTTTGTCCTGATTGATCACTCTTTTAAAATAGAGTACAGTACCACCTGTAATAAATAAGCTTGTGCAACATGGTTCACTAGCGAGTGATGTAAAAACAAAACCACTGAGGAATGATACAGATTTTTTTTTCTGACATTTGGTAAGTTGGAACAGATAAAGGTGTGCCACAATTAAAAACTACTATCAGATCAAAATTGCATGTATGTTCTAAGTTGTACCCGATGTATATTACTAATAAAAAATTGTAATAAAAATGTATCATAAAATATAAATTTAATTATATACATTAAACATTTAACACACTATGCTGGAGTAAATGCAGTTAAACAGAATCTATGATGCTCTCTGTAATCAAACATGCAGTTGAAAAGTGTTTTCTAGTTCTCAGAAAAGATATATATATATATATATATATAATATATATATATATATATATATATATATATATATATATATATATATAGTGTGTGTATGTATGTATGTATGTATGTAGAGAGAGAGCGATAGATAGATATAGTTGCATACGTATGCATGCGCACACATGCACACCCCAGTCAACCACTTCATTAAGTCCACCTTCTTGTATCTACACTCACTGTCCATTTTATCAGCTCCACTGACCATATAGGAGCACTTTGTAGTTCCGCAGTTACAGACTGTAGTCCATCTGTTTCTCTGCATATTTTGTTACCCTGTTTACTGACTTGGTGGGGGGGTGTTAGTGTGTGTTGTGCTAGTGTGAGTGGATCAGACACTGCTGGAGTTTGTGAGCGCTGTGTCCACTCACTGTCCACTCTATTAGACATACCTTGTTGAACCACCTTGTACATGTAAAGTCAGAGACAATAGCTCATCTGTTGCTGCACAGTTTGTGTTGGTCATCCTCTAGTCCTTCATTAGTGGTCATAGGGCACTGCCCACAGGACGCTGTTGACTGGATGTTTTTGGTTCTCACTACAGCAGCGATATTGCGCTGTTTAAAAACTCAGCAGCACTGCTGTGTCTGGTCCACTCGCACCAGTGCAACACACACTAACACACCACCACCACATCAGTGTCACTGCAGTGCTGAGAATGACCCACCCTCCAAATAATACCTGCTCTGTGGGGGTCCTGTGTAGAAGAACAGAGTAACAAAGTATGCAGAGAAACAGATGGATACAGTCTGTAATTGTAGAACTACACAGTGCTTCTGTATGGTCAGTGGAGCTGATACAATGGACAGTGAAGTGACTCATCAGTGTATATTGTTTGCATTATTCTAAGCTCCACTATTATCCAGTAATTATTACCTGTCACAGGAGCTAACTCAAGCTTAGCCAGTACTATGCATACTGCACTGTAGCAGGGGGGCTGCGTCTTTTAGCCTTGTAACTGCCCTACATGCTCATTTCATTCCCACTCTGAACACACCTGAGGCAGGTGAAGGATGTGGAATGGTAGTTCCGTGGTTCAGAGGGTCTGGCAGCGGGAGTGGCACTAAAAAAATTTCCACACTGAGTAAAGCCTTTGTGCTAAATCTTTTGAGCCGCCTGTATTGTTCTGTTTGTTTTGAGTTGACTTAAAGTCCAGTGAGCTTTAGTACTGCATTTTCCAAGACACCATAAACAGGATTTCATAAAATTTTAAACTGATAAACATGTAAAAATTACATTTTCAAATGAAATGAAATCTGGCCTCAACACTGCTGTTGCTCTAGGGTTGATTTTAGCTGCAGCTGTATTAATCTTGTAATGGAAATAAATAAGAAAAGTAAACATTAGTCTGTTGGTTGTCGTATTTAACTGTGAAAACCTCCTGACTGCTGCTATATGTAGCTTCACTTCTCTCTCTGACTTAGATAGCCTTAGCTAGTTAAGTCTCAAATCTCAATGAGGCTAGTTAGCCTCACTTTTCTCAGAAATTTAGTTAACCTTGCTTTTCAATGGGATTTAGTTAGCCTTGCTTCTCCATTTAATTAGCCTCACTTCTTGATTTAGTTAGCCTCAGTTCTTAATGGGATTTAGTAAGCCTCACTTCTCGGTGAGATTTAGTTAGCCTCGCTTCTCGATGGGATTTAGTTAGCCTCGCTTCTCGATGGGATGTAGTTAGCCTTGCTTTTCGATTTAGTTAACGTTGCTTCTCATTGGTTTTTAGTTAGCCTCGCTTCTCGGTGGGATTTAATTAGCCTTGTTTCTCGATGGGATTTAGTTAGCCTCGCTTCTCGATGGCATTTAATTAGCTTCAGTTCTCGCTGAAGGTCTGGAGAAAACATTAGTTGTCTTTGACCAGTGACCTTTTTTTTTGTCAAGTGAATTTGCTTCAGCACAGCTCACTAGCTGAAAGCACTGAAAGTGATTCAACCCACAAAACTGATTTGTCAGGCTGTGTAGATGAACAGATGGTCTAAAATCTCTCTCTCTCTCTCTCTCTCTCTCTCTCTCTCTCTCTCTCTCTCTCTCCCTCTCCTTCTCCCTCTCCCTCCCTAGATCCAGTGGACGAAGTTAAAGACGAGCCCTATTTGTTTGGTGAGATTTACTTTCTTTCTGTATTTCTCCTTTCTCTTTTTTACACTTTCTTGCTCTTTTCCTTATTCTGTCGCTTCATTGATCAGTGAATCACTGATTTCAGTTTTTTTATATGCCCACTGCCTCTCTCACTTCTCTAAACTTAGCTGCAGGTGTATCATTGTGCTCAGTGCTGTGGCCTTTGGTACAGTTCCATCACAGAATACCCAGTTTTTACTGCAGTCTAGAATTCTGCACAGGAGTTTTTCCTTCCTGTTCCTGCAGAAAACATAACCTAAACATTTGTCCTGCTCCTGCCCGCAGTCCTGTAAAGCTGGTTTTCATCTGCGTCAGTCACCATTGAAAATGACTGTCGTAGGTCAGACTCCACTTTAAATGTTTTATTGTGGTGCAGTCATCTTTAAGAGCACTTTGCACAGCTGTGTGTGTCTGCCGTTAACCTGTAAGAAAAAGCTCATTGGATTCACGTGATTCTCTCTCTCTCTCTCTCTCCCTCTCCCTCTCCCTCCTCGCTCTTCTCTCTCTGTAGTTTCTGGATAAGGTGGAGGTGGAGATGAGGACGTGTGAGGAGCCCCGCCCCCCTAATGGGCCCTCCCCCATTGCCATCACTGCAGGTCAAAGGTCAGAGTGGACTGTTCTGTGGTCAGACTGAGTGCTGAATAATAAGATCTGATTAATGGAGAAGAGAACACTGTGCTCAGTAACAGGAGAGAGAGAGCAAAAGAAAAAAATAGAACAGAGAGAGATGCAGGGAGAGAGTGAGAGAGAAAGAGATGGAACAGAGAGACATTGAATGGGGAGAACAGAGATAGTGAGTGAGAGAGAGATGGCCATCATCCAGAGTAATAATGCACTGCTGAGTCTAATAGAGTTTCTGAGAAACTGCATTAATGAGTCTATCACTGAAACTGATCTTACTAAAAATATCTGTAATAGCAGGAAATAAGAGGAGCAGTAACACACTGCAGTGTTTCTGCTGTTCTGACAGAGGCAAAGCATAATCACTATAATAGAGATAATAATAACAACTAATATAGTAATGATGCTACTATTTATAATAGTAATGGTAAAAGTTAGTAGTTAAATCAGTAATACTCACAATAATAGTAATAGTTATTATAGCATTATAGCATTTTTTATTTTAGTTATAAAGTCTCAAAATTAATAAAGTAGTATCACATTTCAACAAATTAATGATAAAAAAATAAAAAGAGATCCAGTAAACTAAATAAAAGTAAAGTCATCCTTGTTGTGATAAAACTGTATCTCTAAAATGAGAAGCACATTTCTCAAATTTAATGCAATAGGTTTTTATTTAAAAGTAATTCTGGGCCTTTTCTGCTGCTTTATTAATTCTGAAATGTTCATGCAGTATAAATGCGCAGTTGAGGTTTTGAAATTAATTTGATGATGTGTTGGTCTCAAAAGTTTTTTAATCTGTTTTTAGAGTACATATAAGCTTCTAACGCTGATACCTGCTGTTGTCTGTGTGTGTGTGCACGCGCAGTGAGTACGGTTTTGCGGAGAAGGTGGTGGAGGGCATGTCCGTCATCATCAACTCCATCACCATTAAAGTCCAGGCTCGCGCATTCCACGCCTCCTTCGAGCTGTGGCAGCTACAGGGCTACAGCCTCAACCCCAAATGGCAGAAAACTGACCTCCGATATACACGCATCACTCACCCCAAGAGAGGAGAGGTACCGCTAACATGACCGCAATGTGAATTATTCAGTATCTGCTATTAATTATTTAGCAACTACTATGAATTTTTCAGTATCTGCTACAAATTATTCAGCAACTACTATGAGGTATTCAGCATCTACTATGAATTATTCAGTATTCACTATGAATTATTCAGCACCTACTGTGAATTATTACATTATCTACTATGAATTGTTCATTATTTACTATGAATTATTCAGTATCTGCTATAAATTATGCAGTATCTACCATGAATTATTCAGTATCCACTATGAATTATTCAGTATCTTCCATGAATTATTCAGTGCCAATAAAAAACAAATGCACTTTAACTGTAATTTAAATACTTTTCTGCTCTATGTTGTTGGCCAGGCCGCTGTAAACAAATTTGTCCTCTTTGATTGTCCTCACCTGTATCTCAAGACATTTTTAATGAGGGGTCGCTGCTGAGTCCACACCAGTGCAGCATGTTTGTGTTTGTGTTTCAGGTTCTGACCTTTAAGGAGATTAATTGGCAGAGTCTTCGAATCGAGGCGGATGCGATAGAGAGTGAGGATCAGGACCTGGGCAGCACTCCATTACGCCTCATCACCAACCAGGGCCGCATCCGCATCGCCCTCAAACGCAGGGTACGTCTCGCACCACTCACGTTTCAGAGGCAGAGTACGTCCCAATCTGCTCACGTTCCAGACCCAGAGTACGTCCTAAACTACTCACATTTCAGATGCGGGGTACATTTCAAATGCAGGGTACGTCCCAAAACGCTCACGTTTCATACATGGGGTAAGTCTGAGTTGGCTCACACTTCAGATGCAGGGTAAGTTTCAGATGCAGATTATGTCCCAAACTGCTCACGTTTCACACTCAGAGTACATTTCAGACTGTTCATATTTCACAGGGTATGTCCCAAACCGTTCAGATTTCACACATGGGGTACGTCCCAAACTGCTCACGTTTCAGATGCAGGGTACGTGCCAAATCGCTGGTGAACTACCCCAGTACTGATGTGCATGCTGTTCCTTTAATTTGTTCCTCCACTATAATAGTGAATTCTAACACCGGTAAGTGGGTGTTAGCTGTTAGCTGAGTCAGGCTGTGCTGTATCTGCTCTCTGTCTCCGCCCTGCAGGTGAAGGACTGTAACGTTCTGGCCTCAAAGCTGCTCTTCATCCTGGATGACCTGCTGTGGGTTCTGACTGACTCTCAGCTCAAAGCTGTGATCCATTACGCTAAATCTCTGAGCGAGGCCATGGAGAAATCTGCCCAGCAGAGGAAGAGCATGGCGGCTGAATCCCTGCAGGTACAGCCATTTATGAAAGCAGTGATTTAATATTTTTTTGGAAGGGTTATCGGCAGATATCTACAGCTAAATGGATAGATTGATAGTTATGTATATGAGCAGGTAGATAGATGGATATAGATATGTCGATGGATGGATGGATGGTTGGATGGATAGATAGATAAGTCCTTTCACAGTTTAATGTCAGTAGAAACGTGTTTTGGAAGCTGGTTCGTGTCTATGTGGAGGAATGTAGATCATGCTCCACATGTGTTAGCCTGTTTGTCTGTTTGTCATGAGGACCACAGTAACTTCAGTGTGAGTCTCTCCAGAGCAGCAGATTTACAGCTCTTTCAGTTCAGTTACTTCAGTCATTACTGAGGAATTACGCATGGCAATACGGGGAAAATGTGCTGTCAGTGTTGTGTAACTTAGCACTGCATCACCCATATTTACACTGAAATGTTCCCGTTCTGTTTCTCTCACACATAATCAGCAGCACAAAGCAGCTCCATAAATACAGAGTAAACTACAGCACTGAAAAACAGCCAGAGATTAAAGGAGATGCACTGTACTCATTTATTCCAGTTAGGCCTATCACAACTAGCGTGATCACAGTTATTATTCAGTCTGACCACAGTCATTAGATTCCACAGTCGTAGTGTATCAGTCAGTCAGTCAATCTTTATTTTGACTTGGAAGTACATTAAGGGTGACCCTCGTTTACAGTGTAGCCGAACAAGTTAAACAGGGCTTGAAATATGTTAAAATCAAACTGAATCAATTAAATCAAATCAAAACTGACAAGACTAAGTGAATGAAGAAAATGTTTAAAGTAATTAAAATAAAGAAAGGCTCAAATAAGAAATATGGCAATAAAGTGTGTAATGAAAAAATAAAAACAGACAAAAAGAAACAGATAATAGACACAAAGAAAAACTACAAATTCTTTAAATAGGTAGTATAAATTATATAAATTATAAATAAAATTATTCAGTAAAATAGTACAATCAAATACAGCAGTGTGAACTCAGTGCATTTTCAATGTTGGCTTGAGCCAAATAAATGTAAATAAAAGAAATTAGCTTTAAATGTGTGTGATGATGCTTTTAGGAGCAGAGTTTGTTAATTTGATAACTAGTACAGCTACTAGGGGTTGCATGACTTCAAGTTGATGGTTATGTGACAAAAAATGACTAATCGCTGATGAGGTCATGAGTAAAACCACTGGACAAGGAAACTCTTTGCAACAAGTGACTAAAAATCGGTCCATTACTCCTCTGTGATTAACAGCTCATTTTCTGGGTGTTGATTTTGTGTATTGATGGATTTGTTTTTCAGACGGCTCCTCCCTCGCCTGGGCCGCACTCCCTGTGGGCAGAACCTCCTCCCGCTCCGGTGGGCACGCCCAGCACTCTAGCGCAGTACTTCGACCTCCATGATGTGAAGGAGTCATCCTACCACACCTTCATCTCCCGCCTGGATCTGCACATCTGCAATGACAGCTCATCAGCAGAACCTGGTCAGATCACATCTGTCAGCTCAGCGCACGTGTCCTATAGCCTGCTTTACACCAGACACCATAACCTTACAAATATGTAAATGTGAAATAAATTTAGTTATGTAGAGTTACTGCTACTGAGTGCTGATTGGTTAGTATTAGTGCCACTGAGTGCTGATTGGTCATCGTTACTGTTACTGCGTGCTGATTGGTTAGCATTACTGCTAATGCGTGGTGATTGGTTAGTATTACTGCTACTGAGTGCTAATTGGTTGGCATTACTGGTACTGAGTACTGATTGGTTAGCATTACTGCTACTGAGTGCTGATTGGTTAGTATTACTGGTACTGAGTGCTGATTTGGTTAGTATTACTCGTACTGAGTGCTGACTGGTTAGCATTACTGGTACTGAGCGCTGATTTAGTTATCGTTACTGCTACTGAGTGCTGATTGGTTAGCATTACTGGTACTGAGTACTGATTGGTTATCGTTACTGTTACTGCATGCTGATTGGTTAGCATTACTGCTACTGCGTGCTGATTGGTTAGCATTACTGTTACTGAATGCTGATTGGTTGGCATTACTGCTACTGAGTACTGATTGGTTGGCATTACTGGTACTGAGTACTGATTGGTTAGTATTACTGCTACTGAGTGCTGATTGGTTGGCATTACTGGTACTGAGTACTGATTGGTTAGTATTACTGGTACTGAGTTCTGACTGGTTAGTATTACTGCTACTGAGTACTGATTGGTTAGTATTACTGGTACTGAGTTCTGACTGGTTAGTATTACTGCTACTGAGTGCTGATTTGGTTAATATTACTGGTACTGAGTACTGATTGGTTAGTATTACTGGTACTGAGTTCTGACTGGTTAGTATTACTGCTACTGGGTGCTGATTTGGTTAGTATTACTGGTACTGAGTGCTGATTTGGTTAGCATTACTGCCACTGAGCGCTGATTAGTTACCGTTACTGCTACTGAGTGCTGATTGGTTATCGTTGCTGTTACTGCGTGCTGATTGGTTAGCATTACTGCTACTGGGTGCTGATTGGTTAGCGTTACTGCTACTGCGTGCTGATTGGTTAGCATTACTGTTACTGAATGCTGATTGGTTGGCATTACTGCTACTGAGTGCTGATTGGTTAGCATTACTGCTACTGAGTGCTGATGGTCAGTGTGACTGCTACTGAGTGCTGATTGGTTAGTGTTACTGCTACCGAGCTCTGATTGGTTAGCGTCACTGCTATTGAGCGGTGATTTAAAAAAACGTTACTGCTACTGAGTGCTGATTAGTTAGCAGTACTGCTACTGGGTGTTGACTGGTTAAAAGATCGAATGGAACCCATTCATTTTGGACTTGCTGAGGAGCGCCTTCTAGTGTTTAACACACCCAGAAGACTTAATTGTGTGCTGATTCTCTTCACTGCACGTTTTCCGTTTCAGCCCAGGCTTGACCTTTGCCCTCTCTTCTTTAGATGACCCCCCTGTTCCAGGCTCTCAGGGTGCTATGCAGCTGACCTTCCGGAAGCTGGGCTGTGATTATTACCCCTTCCACAGGCCGGGTGAGTATGTGAGTGGACGCTTCTGCGGTCCTGCAGACAGGCAGTGATGTAATCATTTATGTCCACGTTTCTCTGCGTCTTCTCTGTTCTTGACCATTAAAGCTCTGAGCTCAGCATTCTTTCCAGCGCAGTGCTCCTCTGCGTTCAGGGTTATGTAACAGTCTCTGTCCCTGCAGACTGGAGCGGCCATTATAAAGGACAAACTAACGTCACATGGATATTTAATGTAGCTAAACAGGTTCCACTAAAACATGCTTTTGGTCATCTTCTCATGTTCCCATAGTAACGTCATCTGGGAATGAATCTGCTTCTCCGGTTTCGTTATGAAGACTAAAAGTAAAAGTAACTTTTTCCATCATAAGTGTTTGTGATTAGTGATGTACAAAATTCACTCCTATATTATTTTAGTCTCCTCTTGGTGTGTGTGTAATATAGCAGTGTTTAGAAGCAGATAAACAGCTCATAGTAGTGGATTTCCCCTTTTTTTGTGGAAATGCCCAAAAAAATCTAAATGGAAAAAGCCTCAAATTAAAAAAAAACAACGAAATATCACAACAGGAGTTTTACGCCAGGACAAGGTGGAAAGGTTAGAGCGTCGCTAAAGCTGAAATGTGAAAAAGAGTGATGGAACAGGGTTTTTCAAAAGCTGTAATTCACATGATTCCTAGATGGCCCAATCATGGCACAGAGCTTTATTTAAAGGTTGCTTTCGACATTCTTTAGCACCTGATCTAAAGCTGATTTGAAAAATGGTTCTGCCCAGTGTGCTCCAGAACTGTCTGGTGTGTTTACGTTCCCAGATGTGAGGTGGGAGTCATCAGGGTGGTACTGGGATTTCAGCCCTCATTAGGTGGCCACTGCTCGTCCTGCCTGGTGTCTCAAACAACATGATGGCAAATGGCTGTAAAGATGATTCTGCTTCAAGCAAAAACAGAGTTAAATCTCTCCATCTTGCTGTTTTCGATGCAGCCCCTGATCACAATAGCCTATGACATCTAAAGTTTCTTAACTGAATGTGATTTTAAAAAGTATACCATGACTCTGAGCTCAATGCGGGGGTGCAGCAACTTTGGGTTTGTGATAAAGCTCTTCATTTGAGTTAGTTTGTGTGTGTTTATGTCTGTAGGTGATGGCTGCAGGCACTGGGAGTGTTACTGTGGAGCAATGGACTCTCGGGCTCAGTGGGCGGCCAAACTGCTGCAGGAGTTCCAGCAGAGAGTGGACAGCTCAGGCTTTCCTGGACCTCCTACTGACCAGCAGGCACCCAGCACACAGTCACCAGCCCGCAAAACTCAGGGTACCTACAGAGTCTCACAGCTGACTGTACAGACACAGTGTTTTCCTGAGATGTGAAGCCATCATGTTTGAGTGGATTTATGATTTTGTTTATTTTTACCATTATTTACACTTAATATCATATTTTAGATTACAAATCAAGGTCTATTTTTAAAGACTGTGATGACAAAGAAAAGTAGGAGAAGCTATTTTGCTAAATAACTCAAGATCTTGAGGAAAACAAATTAACTGATAACATCAGAGTCATTAAAATGTGGCTGTTCAGGCCTTCCATGTTTCAGCCCTTTAACTGACTGTGTTTGTGCTGTTATTTACTGTGATTAGTGATCAATTTCTCGTTTTTTTATTTGTTTTTATTAGGAGATGGGGAGTCCGTTCTTAAGTCCAGTCCTGATGGGGGTCCGGCGTCTCGGACTGCTCCTGGGGCAGCTCTAAAGAGACTCCGGTCCAGCTGCATGGTGATCCGGGTGGACGATCTGGACATTCACCAGGTCTAAATCAACGCACACGTGCACTTGGAGATCTTATATCCTCATAAAACTCCATTTTAAAGGGGCCTGTATTATGAAAACTTAATTGAAATTAAACTTTTTAAAGTAGTAGCCTGCAGTCTTTCTCACTGCTGTCAATGAAACATGGACAATCATTAAAATGTCCACAAGCTCTAAGCTCTGCCTAATTTTCTAAATGTCCACATTGTCATCCAATCACTGCTTAGCAATCTTTGCCATCCTTCATTTCAGTGCACCATTGTTTGAATTTGAAGCTCCAGCTACAGTCAAAAGATGTGTACATATGAATGGCTAGAGTGAGATATGGTGCCCCATAGGGCTCTATTCTAGGGCCCTTATTGTTCTCGATTTATTTAAAGTCCCTTTGATGTATTGACATTTGATACATCCAATAACACTTTGTTGTCCTTCAGTTTTGTGCTGTGGATACTCACTTATGTGTCAGCTCATCCAGATTTAGTTACAAAACTAGAAAAATTAAGAATATGGTATCTTTTTAAAATTCCCAGCCCAAAGTGAAGCTTGAGTGAGAGAACTGTATGACCACAGTAAGCTCAGCTGTGTTGAGTTGTTGGAATGACAGCAGAAGGAAGGAAATTTCTTTGTTCTGCTTTTCTGAGACCCGACACGAGAATAGCATCATTCTCACATTTCTCCTGAGGGAATTGAACTAGCAATGGGGAACCACCTCACCCGCATCACATGGCTGAGTGACTCATGCAAGAAAGTGGCATTTTTACTCTGATCCTATTTCATAGGATGAATATTAAGCAATAAGGAAGCAGTGGGGAGGCCCCCACTTTTGGCTCTCCTCACAAACACTACAAATACAGTATAAAACAGTGAGAAGCTTCATGATGTGCACATGATGTAATAATATCTGCAAAAAGTGTCATTTTGACTCTCATCACAGGCTGCCTGATTCCGCTGAGGACAGTAAAGTCAAGCCGTTCTAAAAAGGATGTGAGAAGGAAATAGCTGCTTGCTTTATTTGTGTTTGAATAATGTGCCCCGTCGGCTTTGCATTCCTGTTTTGTCTCATATTGCTATTTTGGAAGCTTCTCAGTTTTTACAGATCTAGCCAAGACCATAATACTTAGATTTATATGGTAATTCCAACAATTTTCCAAAAATAATTGAGTGTGTCAAATGTAAACAGAGTGATTTGGAGTGGTTTGGTGTGAAATAGTTCAGATTTCTTTTTACATTGGTGGTGATAGGAACCAGGAGTCACCATGACTACAACACAAATATAGACGTTCTCTTTACTATCCAAAACCACCAGTAAACCTACATGTGTCTTCTGAGATTTATATGGAATGTTGATGATGGGAAAAATAGTAGAAAATCTGAAATAATCAGTTTTCAGCTGGGGGCTATTTTGCCTCACAACGCCCTGCATATTATGTATATTTCTCAAAAACATTTTATGTAATAACTTGTGAGGGAGCTTTTGGAGGTGGACATCTGGTTCCTGTCCCCACTACTGTGAACAGTTCTTTCTTTAGAATGGAGCATTTCACACCAAACAACTCTGAATGACTCTGTTTACATCTTAACTGGTTAATTATGCAGAAACTTTTTCTCTTTTTATTCTTTTTAGGTAAATATTTTAGCTGTAATATTTGGTTGTGCCTGCTGTTGCAGAAATGGAAAATTCTTAAAGAAAGATAATGATTAGTTACATAAACCTCCATAAGCCTCATTGACTTTGCATTCATTTGTTCTGTTTTCTCTAACTTTTCTGCGACTCATTTGTTCTCTTGCTGTTCTCATAGGTGTCCACAGGGGGGCGCAACAGCAAGAGAACCCAGTCTCTTCTCTCCTGTAACCGCAAGTCGCTCCAGCTAGCGGAAAACACACCTGCCATCCACCTGCAGTTCACAGAGTACTACTTCCCTCACAGCCCTGGAACACCTGGTATACTAAATAAACTTACTTTTTTTTCATTTATTCAGAACTTGATTGGCAAGGCAAGTTTATTTGTACAGCACTTTTCGTACGCAGTGGCAATTCAAAGTGCTTTACACACACAGTAAAATAAAAGCATTAGATAATAATACAGCATATATAATTCCTGAGATCCAGCACCTCAGAAAGACTTTTGCAAGGATTGTTAAAGACATAAGAAGCGCATGAGAAGTAAGAAATGCAATAGCAATTATACTAATCATTTCCAGCACCCTGAGTGAGGAAGAGCATCAAAACTTCCTGCTTTCGCTGCTGAATAGATAAAATATGTATAATAAAATGATGTGATTTAGTGCAAAAAACATTTAAACACAGTCATTGCAGTGTATGACACTAGCTGTGTTTTGTATTGTTTATGTTGTGGGTGGAGCCAGTAATATAAAACAGCACAGTGTAATATGTCTTTCAGTGGAACATGGAATAGTTTCAGCATTTGTTTATATCAGTGTGCATGTAAAATAAGTAGACGAAAAGCAGCAACAGACAGTGTTCTGATAGTCAGTGATTGGGTATTTTAGATGTTTATATTGATTTAGCTGTTCTGTCTCCTCCTGCAGTGCCCTGCTCTAACTTGTACGGTCAGCTGAACGGTCTGCAGCTCTGCGTGGATGCCCCCAGCCTCCTGTGGATGGCGCTCTTTTCCCGAGGTCTGCTGCGAACACTGGAGCAGGTTAAAGCCTTCTACCACTTGCAGGACAGCAGCAAGAGTGAGGAGCATGTGGACATCAGAGTGGACATCACACAGCTGAAGGTAAAGGATTATGGTGGCCAGCGAATTACACACATTTCTGTTTATTTTCTCTCGTCTGGAGAGTCTGTGGACATTAATTTTTCCTATCTTGTTGATTAACCCAGTAAAGGACCAGAATGTTCCTCTGAAATCCAGCATTCTCGACAGCAGATTTTTACTCTGTGCCTGTGGTTTGTGAATGTCTTCATCATTTGACAAACTGACCGTACAGATTTGTCGGCACTGCAGGACTTTCCTTTCTGCTTCTGTCCTGCAGTGGTGAAGGTCTTGGGCATCTTGATGCTCCATGTGAACAGAGATTATTATAGATCTGATGTCTGATGTTCCTTGTAGAAACTGTGAGAGAGTTCCACACGGCTGATATTTTCTCACTGTTGATCTGCCGATTAGACTACTTGAACGCACTGTAGGCGACCCTGCCAATCTGCAATGATAGCAGAGGAGGGTAAAGTTCAGCATCCTCGCTGCTGGGCTTTAGTTACATTTACATCTAGTTCTTCAGTGATATGAAGCTGAAGTCACCGGCTTCCTGATCAAACTGTGAGAGAGTTCCACACGGCTGATATTTTCTCACTGTTGATCTGCCGATTAGACTACTTGAACGCACTGTAGGCGACCCTGCCAATCTGCAATGATAGCAGAGGAGGGTAAAGTTCAGCATCCTCGCTGCTGGGCTTTAGTTACATTTACATCTAGTTCTTCAGTGATATGAAGCTGAAGTCACCGGCTTCCTGATCAAATTTTTTCCTGTTCCACCTCAAATAGTGCAATGGGAAATTTAGCTAACTAGCTTCCGAGACATCAGCTTACTACTAGTGATTTTTTAAGCCTGTTATGTAGTTAAGGACTATAATACACTGAAAAGACATTAAACTAACATAATACAGTGGTTATCATATTTTTTAACAATTAAAATTCTCACATTTGTGGGTTTCTTTGGTTGCTTGCACAGCCATCTTGCCTGTTTTTCTTTTTTCCTCATAACACTCTGTTTGGAGTGTGTCTCTGAAAAACCTCCGTTTGGAGGGCCATGTAGCCCTAACACTTTGCCCTACCTCTCTATCTCAACAAGAATCAGGACACTCTACCCCTTGATGTGAACGCACAAAACGGAGGGGTAGGGCTAAGTGGCAGGGGCGAGGGGTAAATTGGGATTGGGTTAAAGTCTGCTCTCATCAATCTGACACAGGCGGACAGTCAGGAGTAGGAGGAGCTCTGATTATTATACATTGCTGAGAATCTTTCACGAGTGGCAATGGACACTGACTAATGACTGACTTTTGCAGTCTGTTTTTGTCTAGATTTCTTCTGCTTTATCTAGACAATGAATGCAGTTAACGCAGAACAAAGGATTACATCACAGATACGCAGCCGTTACTCACTTTTTGCAATCGGGACAGCATTTGATAATGTAGTCGATGATGGAGAGAATATCACTGACTATAGCTGGCACTGAGTGTTCATACACATTTTTCTGGGTTCTATAATTTCATGTGACTGAAATAATCTTCCCTAAAAGCTGTTGCTTTTTTGCTCTCTGTCCTTGTGTTACTCCATAGCTGGTGGTTCCTTTGGACTCCTCCATCCTGGATCACCCGGATCGTCCTCAGTCTCTGAGCTTCATCCTCCCTCAGGCTGTGCTGAGCAACACCCGCCACTGCCCTCACGGCTCGTGCTCCGACCTCCAGGGCATCTTCACTAGCTTTTCCAAACGACCTTTCTTCCAGACTTCACTGAGCCCGTCTTTCCCTCGTGACCGAAACACGTTCCACCCTCTTCCGCCCGAGTTTCTTTATCCTCCCCCTGAAAAAAGGCCAACCCGAGCGCAGGACGTCTGGTGCTTGAGCTTGTCCCGGGCGGCGTTGGGTTTTGAAGGTGCCAGACGAGGACCTAAGGGTAAAGATCTGCCATTTGTAGAGCCGTTTGCCATGTCCGTGTGGATGTGCCACCCAAACGCATTGAATCAGAGCTCTTTAACGCCCACAGGAAGCGATCTTGATGCTCCCAGAAGCCCTGACAAGCTGCCTCAGCCTGGAACAAACCACGTCTTTCCAGAACAGGATGTCCAGGAGGTACCTGGAGCTCCCTCAGCACCAGTCCACATCCTGGCACAGTTCATCACACCAGTTAAAGTGTGGTTGAACCACTACCAGTACGTAGCCCTGCTGAGGATGAAGGACTTCCTCGCCCGGCTGGCCGGAGATTTGACCCGAGACCCTCAGGATTCCCAAAGTTTGGAAAAGAAGCAGGCCGATCCTCCTGCGGTTTGTGTTTCCGTCCTCTTGGAGGCGCTAGAGCTCTGGCTGCTCCTGCCGCCCACTGTAGGAGAGCCAGAGGAAGACGGTGGCTCTCCAGAGGAAACGGACACTCAGAGTCTTACGGACTCGGAACTATCTCCGTCCCACCAACCCGGAGAGCCTGGACTGCTGCAGGACAGCGGCATCGGGGAAAACGCTGCGGTAAGGCTAAGTGAAATAAAGTATCTTATGATATAGTGGTGTAACCATTCAGAACGTTTTTTTACTGCATGTGAAAACATTTTAAATCGAATCACTTCGCCCTATATGGCCAAAAGTATGAGGACACCTTACAGTCACATCTATATAACATTGCTCTCGGGACAAAACCTTGTATCTCTGAAATGGTAACTTCACAGGAGAAGAAAAAAACATTCTTAACTTTAAATGGCGGTTAATGGAACAAGAATTTTTTTTCAAGTAATTTTGGAGCCTTTCTGTTAGTCCATTAATTTCTGCACATTGCAAAGGCCCAAGGGCATTTTAGAATATTGTAAATACAAAATGACAAAAATGGAGATACAAGGTTTTATTACACAGCAGCAATAACTTGAATATCCCATTTCAGAACCGTGAGAATTTATGTGGAGGTGGCTCAGTCAACATTCAAAATCAAATGCTAGTTATTTTTTGATTTGCAATTTTGATTCAAAACTTCCAATTTTCTGTATCATTCAGTAAATTCAGTTTCTTATCATATAGCTGCTTACTTTTAAGTCTGAATAATATTTTGATCCCTGAAGAAAGCAAAAATTTAAATGTTGAGGATATTTCGCTTTTACTGAGCTTTTAGCTTCAACCTGCAACCTAAACCATCTCAAAAGTCAACAGATAGGAATCAAAAGATGCTAATACTTAGTAACTCTGCTAACTGATGATAAGTAATGCTAGCTAACTCTGTTAATTAAAAATATATAATGTTAGCTAATTTTGTTAGCATTATATAATTTATATAATACTAATTTTGACTGAAAATAATATGTTAACTAACTTGGCTAATTAAAAATAGAGAACTGAAAATAGATAAAGCTAACTCACTCAGCTATCTGAAAATAGCTAACACTAGCTGAGCTGCTAACTGAAAATAACTAACACTAGCTAATTCTGCTAACTGAACATAACCGACACTAGCTAACTCAGCTAGTGTTAACTGAATACAGCTAACACTAGCTAACTCTACTAATTGAAACTAATGCTAAATTACTGCTAACTCCACATAGCTAACAATAACTAATTCTGCTAACTAAAAACAGATAACGCTAACTAAAATGTGAATTGTTCTTGAAATAACATAACTGAAAATGTTTGATTTTGATAATTATTATTATTGTTTTGTCACCCAGGCCAACGCCAGTGGATCACATGACCAGGATGATGAAGGTGATGGGGAGGGTGAGGGGTCAGTGGAGGAAGCGTGTGAAGCTGTAGAAGAAGTAGATGATGAAGCCGGTCAGGAGGAACCTCAGCCTGCAACGCTGGTCACTTCCCCTCCGCACTCTCCAGGTCTGACCCGAGACACTTCCACCTTCAGCCTGGAGGGGGAGCTGTCCAATGCCCTCAACGCCACCAAGGATGTCACTAAAGATGCGCTAAACGCCTCACTGGACCTCACCAAGGGGGCGCTGTCCATCACGAAAGACGCCTTCAGCATCCTAAGCCGCGGGTCGGCCATGACGAAGCTCTTCAGCACTCAGACCAAGTACGAGTGCAGGCAGGAGTTACGGTCGTTTTACTTTAGGTTGCTTGTGGTCAAACATTTATTCACACATTATGACATAATACACATATCCTATTTAAACACCAGATTAAGTAAACAAATATTAAGATGACATCTGTATGCTCTGTGTAGGGAACAGGCCGCCCGGCCAGATGACCCTGGTCTGCGTCTGCAGCCCCTCAAACACTCTTCTTCCCAGAATTCCTGCGATAGTGCCCTCCTGGACAGCAGCGTGGCTGATGACGGCCTGTCTGTGGACAGCGACACCAGCGAAAACTTCATCATCCTGCTGGACTCTGGTACAACTAACACTCACTTCAGTAGCATCACTCATTACGAACATTCGTTAGTGTTGTCCATGAGCATCACCTGTTGGGATCATTTTTTGGCATCAACCATTTAGCATTATCAGTTAGCATCATCTGCTTTTCCAGTCCTGCTGTATTCCAGGATACCTAACACTTGCTCAGTTAGCATCATTTGTACACCTAACACTCAGTTTGTCTGCATAGTTTATCATCATCCATTAGCATTGTTCATTAACTTTAGTCATTAGCATTATTCATTATCATCATTCAGTGTTGTCCTTTATTAGCATCGTCTGTTAGCAACATTAACATCAACGTCAGCATTATCTGGTACTCGAGTACACCTAACCCTCAGTTAGCATCACTCATTTGCATCATCCATTAGTGTTGTCTGCTATTAGCATAATTTATTAACACCCATCATCAGCATCATTCATTACTGTATGTATTACTGACGAGTGTCTAATTTCTCTCTCTCTCTCTCTCTCTCTCTCTCTCTCTCTCGCTCTGGTAGAGTCTGGTTTGGAGTCTATGCGTCCTAACGGTACTCCAGTTCACTCGGGTAGTCGGGTCAGTCCCGCTGCGGGGACAGAGGGGGGGTCGTCAGCAGATCTGAGCAGCTCTCTGTCCCAGAGCACTGAGGATCTTTCCCAGGATTCAGTGAGTAACATCATTCTCTCGTATCACACTGCATACAGAGGGAATGACCACCCTGCAGACTGCAGGAGCACTGATCGCTCGAAACTGTATGTCACAATCTCAACTGAGCATCTCAAAATAGCGCAAGCAAGCAAGCAAAGTTTATTTATATAGAGCTTTTTACAACAGGTGTTCAGAAATCAGCATTACAGAAAGAAATCCAGGTCCAAAAACTCCCTAAGAGAAACAGGAAGAAACCTTGAGATTAACCAAGACTCAGAAGGGGAACCCATCCTCCTCTGGTCGACACCGGATAGTAAACATTGTTGGTATAAAGTATTATAGTACAAAAACAGGTGAAGCAAAGGATTAATTTGATTAGTTTAGTTCATGCAGCAGCATCAGTGGGGTCAGGTTGTGAGGGTGAGGTTGCACGGCGTTGTACAGCATGAAGCTCAATGGTGGTCAAGCCGGTCCAGAGGGCTGACAGTAGTGGCACCCGATCAAGGCAGAAGAGGCAGCAGCATCAGAACGCACAGGATGGGCAGCTGTTCAACTCGGCAAAGAAAAGAAAGAAGGGAAAAACACACAGAGTCAGTTCTGTAATGGGTGACTGATCACAGATTACAGTGTTAGCAGAGCAGCAGAGACTCTGGCAGGTATAGAACCGACAGGGAAAACTAATTACCAAAGGCTTGACTGTACAAATAAGTTTTTAGCCTAGACTTAAACACTGAGGCTGTGTCTGAGTCCCGAACATTAACAGGAAGACTATTCCAAAGCTGGGGGGCTTTGTATGAGAAGGCTCTCCCCCGTGATGTAACTTTGCTAATTCTAGGTACTAATAGCAAGTCAGCACCTTGTGATCTATGTAGGCGTGATGGTTCATAGTAGGAGAGAAGTTCACTCAGGTACTGAGGGGCGAGTCCGTTTAGAGCTTTATAAGTCAGTAGGAGAATTTTATAATCAATGCGAAATTTAACTGGTAACCAGTGTAGGTTTGATAGAACTGGGCTGATATGGTCAAATTTTCTGGTTCTAGTAAGAACTCTGGCTGCAGCATTCTGGACTAGCTGAAGCTTGTTAAGGCTTTTGCTCGGACATCCAGCCAGCAGGGCATTACAGTAATCTAGCCTTGAAGTAATAAATGCATGAACTAACTTTTCTGCATCCTGTAGAGATAATGCATTTCTCAAATTAGCAATATTGCGGAGATGCAGGAAGGCTGTTCTAGTAATATTAGTTATAATGACACCAAGGCTTTTTAGAGATGAGCTTGATGCAACTGAGAAATTAAGTTTAAGTGTAAAATTAGACAGTTTGTTTCTAGCTGCTTTTGGACCAAGAAGTAGAACCTCTGTTTTGTCCAAGTTAAGAAGGAGAAAGTTACTCGACATCCAGTCTCTTATGTCTTTTATACAGTCCTCAATCTTGCCACATTTAATTTTATCATGGGGTTCGCTTGCTAAATATAACTGTCATTGGCATAACAGTAAAAATTTATGCCGTGTTTACTGATGATGGTGCCCAGTGGTAGCATATATAATGTGAATAATACAGGTCCTGAAACAGAGCCTTGTGGAACACCATACTTTTGCGAGGGCAGATGATTCACTGTTTATATTAACAAACTGATAGCGATCAGTGAGGTAGGACCTGAACAAGGAAAGAGCTATTCCTGTTACCCCTACAAGGTTTTCTAGTCTATTTAGTAAGATAGCGTGGTCTATTGTGTCAAATGCCGCACTAAGATCGAGGAGGACTAACAGGGACACATTTTCTTGGTCAGAGAATAATAATAGATCATTTACAATTTTTACTAGTGCAAATATTGACTTAATATCTCAAAATGATTTATTTTCTCTGAATATTGTCTTAGCATCTCCAAACAATGACTTGTGATGTTGAAATATTGACTTTATATTTTTTTGAATAATAACTTTTCTCAAAATACTGATATTATATCTCATTTTATTTAAAAGCTGAATAACGCTAATAGGCAGAAATATGTTTTATAATTTTGTTTTTTTAGTTTTATGAAAGTCATTCAAAAATATGTAAAAAATAGGTCATCGTACCTTTTTTGACTACCATCTCGCAACGCTCAGGGTGAGAATTGCTGGTTTTAACAGTGAGTTTTGAGGATGCTTGATACTCGTGCTGAGCGCCCCTGGTGGATTTGATAGACATAACATTAGAAACAACATGATTATTGCAGTTATGTAGCCTACTTTTTTCTTTCGAGCCTTAAGAATAGTATTTAACAGTCAAGTATTTTAAAATATTAAATGAATAAATAAAGGGAATATTCAGATAAATTTTGAACTGAAGTTTCTCAAAACAGTGACTTACTTCTTAAAAGAATGACTCCTCTCATTCTTATTTTAACCTTTTTCTCGTTCAGGTATCTGTGCTGCTGCTGTCTCTGAGCGGGGTCACCTCTGTGGTGGAGCTCCGTGGGGAGGATGTTGTCGTGGCAACTGAGGCCCAGTCCCTCACCCCTAAGCAGCTGGGCAACCAGAGAGTGATGGAGCTGCTGGCCGGACTGACGGTGGCGCAAGGTGAGGACACATGATGTAGTCATTCAGTTAGCATCATGCTAATTGTTGGGGTTTAAGCTTTCCTCACTTGTTAGCTACGTTAGCCTCGTAGCTTCAGTGCTAAAGCTAAAGAAGTAAACTTCAGACACCAAACACGTCTCAGCTGATCAATTACTTTTGGGAGAAATTGGGTAAATTTGATCTTTTGCAAACCATCACTTTAATACTTTGCTCTTCTCCCTCTTCAGGAGGTTCCTCGTCCCCGGCCAGCCCGGGGGCTCTCCCGGCGGTCTGTATGAGGGTGGAGGCAGGACCTAGTGCAGGTCGTCACTGTGCGGCAGCAGAGGGGGCGGGGTTTTTGGAGGTTTGTGTGCAGGGCTGCCGGGCGGAGCTGCTGACCTCCACTTTGAACACGATTGGACCGTTCCTGGAGGATGAGCTGACGGCTGACCCACAGCCAATCAGACTGAGGATATACAACACCAGCCTCACGCTGAAGGTCAGGGTCAGGAGTGGAGCACTCTTTTAGCCTCACTCTAGATTGACGCTGATTCTGGGGCCTGTTTGGCCCGCCATCAGAACAGGTGTTCCGATTTCAGCTTGTGCTTAAGCTATAATCTTCGTAGTTTATGGGATATGTATTACACATTATGTATTTACAACCCAAAAAGGTTGGGATGCTGTGCAAAATGTCAATAAATCCAAAATGTAATGATGTGCAAACGTTATAACCCTATATTTCAGTGAAAATAGTATAAGAAGGACAAGGCTGAAAACCAATACTGGCTGGCCATGATCTTCGGGCCCTCAGACAGCACTGCATTAAAAACAGACATGATTCTGTAGTGGAAATTACTGTATGGGCTCAGGAACACTTCCGTCTGTGAACACAGTTCATCTCTGAATCCACAAATGCAAGTTAAACCTCTACCATGCAAAAAAGAAACCAAATATAAACAGGATCCAGAAACACTTCCACCTTCTCTGATCCTGAGCTCATCTAAGATAGACTGAGGTGAAGTGTCCTGTGGTCCGATGAATCAAACTTCAATCCTATATCAAGCAGAATATAGACATTTCACTTTCCAAACTACAGCAGTCCGTCTCCTCAGTTCCCAAACAACATAGTGGTAAACATGACCCTGTGCCAACTCAAGTTTCAACATTTGATATGTTGTCTTTGTACTGTTTTCAATTTAACATAGGTGGTAAATGATTTGCACAACATTGCATTCTGTTTTTATGTATATTTTACACAGTGTCCCAACTTTTTTGGAAATGTGTTGTAGAAAATGAATCATAATTAACTACACAAAACAATGCGGGTAATCATAATGTATGGTTTTAATCTTTTGACAGAGCAATAAGCCCTGTGATCTGGTAGGTTTCTTAAATCCGTAGCTCTGTGTTTGTTTCAGGACGATGGTCCGCGGGTGTACCCCACCGCTCCCCAGCCTGTTCCTGTGGCCTTCTATTTGGATGGTGTAGTTCTGGAGCGGCTGGACGACGGACACCTCATGCTCAGATGTAGGTTCACGTAGTACATTTCATGGGAGCGGTACTCATGGGTATGGCTTTAACTCAAGAGTGATGACCTGACCTCTGTTTACTTCGCCCCTGCAGCCACTGCCAGCCAATCAGGAGACGGTGATGCAGGAGGACAGGACAGAGCCTGCTGTGGGCCCGGAGGAGAGGGGAAGGTATGTTAACTACACAGACACACATTTATAGATAACAGTGTGTCATAGTCAAGTAATCTCTAAAAACTTGATATGGTTTGAGGCATGAAGGTCTAGTTTGCTTCCCTATTTGGCAGCTTCTTAGTAAGGTTTTCTGTTCCACCTTAAATAGTGCAGCAGTTACATTCTGGAACCTCAGGCTCTTTGTTCCACTTTAAATGGTGCAGCAGTTACATTCTGGCTCATCAGGTTCTTCTGTTCCACCTACTACATCAGTCTAAAGAAGCCTGAAGAACTTCAAACACTAAACTCAGCCACTTGAATAAAACGAGCTGTTTTCCCTTTTTTCTCTGCTCATGAATAATCTAATGATCTCTGCTCTGAATGGCTGGTTTACAGTGAGGTGCCGTGATGGCTCACACAGAAGTAGCATGTGGAAACAGACACGGTAGGAAGATAAAGCGAACCTCCGTGTAAATAAGCTGGTTCTCATACTGTTCAATTAGCTATGCAGGTTTTGAGAATTTTCCATTCCACCATAAATGATGCTGCAGTTACATTCTGCCACCTGTACAAGCTGCAGCATTTAAGGTGGAACATTCAGTTAAGAAGCTGCGAACATGAAGCATCCTTCAGTCTGCTTTAAAGATGATCATCATCCGTTGACGGTTCGGTTCTTGTGAAGAGAACTAAAAGTGCCGACGTCCCTTCACAGCCTGGAGCTGCATTTCTGCACACAGTCTGACATTTTTATTGCTGCTGCTCTGTTGTCATATGTGAATGTTGGGGCCATGAATATTAATGAGTCGAGACATAATAGTTTATGTAACAGTTTAGGATTTTGGAATCGGCCCATTTTACCCTCTTTTCCAAATGCGGAATCTGTATCTGAAGGAGGAGACAGCAGGGTTTAAGGTTCACAGTGTGTCAGTTCCATGCACTGAACTCTCCTTATTCAACTACGCCAATGTAAATACAGTTTTACGTTCTATGGCACCTTTAAGGCAGCTTTGTTCTCTCTGTAGATCTGAGCAGGTGAGAGAGGACGGGTAGAGCGTTACTGCAGTAATTATTGTCTCCACACTGACCTGCATGACCAGGTGGTGTTTAATGCTTACCTAAAGCACTGTGGTTCTTTATTATTCATGCCTAAAGTCTAATGTCACTGTGTGAGTGTGGGCTCAGATAACAGCTTTTAAAGGTGTGTTAGCAGTTCCCAACTTTTTCCAACTTGTGGCCCACACAACTGACCACTATAAGTCTGTCTGTGTGTGTGTGTGTGTGTGTGTGTGTGTGTGTGCGTGTGTATGTATGTATATATATATATATATAGTTTTGACAAGTTGGTCTTAATATGTATCATGTTTACATACCTGTCCAGGAGGAATGTTGCTAATTTGAGTCTGTTCTACAGTTTGAATGAATAACTGGCTCTAAATCTAGGTATTGTGATATAAACTGAGTTGTTTATGTTGGGCTGGTCTTTAAGTTTGTTTGTTTTGTCTGCAGGTCGAGTCTCTGCAGTCTCAGCTGTCTGAAATGCGCGCAGCTCTGGCTGCAGCTCTATCGGAGCAAGAACGCCTCCTGCAGGAGATCCACAAATACAACCCTGCATTCACACTCTAGGCTCCAGCACAGGGCAACACTGACGGCCTTCACAGCACAGTGAAGAGAGGAAGAGGAGGAGGGAGGGAGCCATCAACCTCCCATCGTGATGGACAGATCACAGACGGAGCAGGAGAATCAACATCACCATCACCGTCCGCATCACAGCTGCTTTACAGTCACTGACCGACAGTCAGTCAGTCTCTCTCTCTCTCTCTGTCTCCCTTTTTTCTTTCTCTTTTCTCTTTCTTTCAGTGTCTTCCAATTTGTTTTTTCTGTCTGTCACTCTTTTTTCTCTATTTTTTCTTTTCTTACTGCTTTAATTGTTTTTCGTCCTTTCTTTTCCCCTCACTTTTTTTATTGTTTTTTTCCTTTTTTCTGATTTGTTTCTTTCTTTCCTTCTTTTTCTCTCTCTCTGTCTCTTTCTTTCTGTCTTTCTTTGTCACTTTCCCTCTATTTTTTTGTTACTCTCTCCATTTTCTTGTTTTGTTTGATTTCCTCTTTTTCTTTTCTTTCTGTTTAACTTGTTTTTCTTCTCTCTCTCTCTCTCTCTCTCTCTCTCTCTCTCTCTCTCTCTCTCTCTCTCTCTCTGTGAGTCTGTTGACTGTCTGCATGCTCTCACTCGATTTCCCATGATGCACCTGTGCTGTGTACCCACACTAGCTGGTGTGAGCTGGTGTTGGAGTTTCTCTGATAGATTGCTCCGTTTATATCAGCTCCACCAAAATAACCTAAAAAAAATATATAAAATTCACTTTGACATTCGCTCAGTGTGATAAACCGCCCAGCTTTCAGTTCAGTTTCTTTACCAGAAATTCAGTTTGAACAAGTAATAATGTTCAGTATTGGCTCGATCCCTAGTGAGGCAACAGCCAAGTCCTAGAGATTTTAGTCCTAATCATTTTAACGTTGGATCCATTTATGTCGCCTGTGAAGGTTTGCAGACATTCTCACTGTTCAAAAAAAAAATCATGAAATTTTCACATTGAATTCTTCATTGTGGCAGCGTATTCCAGACTTTATTCAAATTCAACTGCAATTTTGAAAATGCTAATTCAGTTCATTAATATTGGTCGAGAAGCACTTTCACACAAAACCACTTTGGACAGAATTCTCCTTAGGCTGGTTAGTGAGTGTTAAATTGTCACTAGCAGTGGTTGCTAATGCTAGCTCCGTATTGTAAACAAGCATCTCGCTCAGTGCCAAAGTTTAGACTCATCAGTTTTTAAAGCAGCACTGTGTAGTTGTGTCCAAAACACAACCAATGTTACAAAATGTTCCTCTGCACACTGCATGCAATTACATATGTCCACCAGAGAGGGCTCCAAATACTCATATCCTACATAGTGTTGCTTTAAAACGTGCCCCGCGCTAAAAAGCCCCTCCCGATGTCCAGCCCACACTGTTTGAATGAATTTTGAAAAATAAAATTAGATTTTTTTTCTTTTTTAAATGCACTTTTACTTGTTCGGATTGACTTTGTGATAAAGAACCTGAATTAAAAGCTGGAGCAGTTCACCACAGTTCAGTGTAGAGTTATTTTGAAAGTTCTTCTGAAACACGTTTATTCAGCTGAAATTCAGAGTTATTATTCAGTGCCATACTGACATACTGAGGTGACTCTCCACCTGCAGTCTGAACGCAGTGTGTGTGTGTGTGTGTGTGTGTGTGTAATTAGTTGTGAATGTTGGTATTTTTTATTCTAGATTTCTTTTGGAACCAAACATGGTTCCTGTTCTTGTTTTCTAAGCTGATTTGCACAGACTGAGAGCGCGGAGAGGGTTAAGCATTTATACAAGTGTGAAAACGATCTGCATGCTTGAGTTTCCATTTTTTAAAGTCCTGTAGAACATCTGTAGAGATGTAGCCGTTACTGTGCGTTTACTTTTGGTACTAAAGTGTTACAATTGTTTCTTATCATTTAAAGCTATGCTGTTTGAGATGTACAGTGAATATTGGGGTAAAGTCAGTATTACTGAGTGTCTCTAATGCAGCGTCTGGTTAAAATTCTCTCTAAAGGCCGATGAGTCAATTTTAAAGTGATAGTTCAGCACAGAATCCCCCAGTTTACCCCCACTGTAGTCAATCAGCCGAGACATCTTCTTTAGTTTTAGCACTGGAGCTATGAGGCTACTGTTGCTAACAAATAATGGAAGCTTATACCCACCAATTAGCATCATTGCTAAATCCTCACACTTGCCTTAAATTCTACCCATTACTCCATAATTAAACAGTTTAGATATAAACAAAAACCTATTACTAAGATTTTCTGCTATTTTCCCATCATCAACATTACATATAAAACTCAGAAGACACGTGTAGGTTCACTGGTGGTTTTGGATAGTAAATAAAATGTCTATATTTGTGTTGTAGTCATGGTGACTCCTGGTTCCTATCACCACCACTGTAAAGACGTCTGAACTATTTCACGCCGAACCACTCTGAATCACTCTGTTTACATCTCACACACTGAATTGTGGGGAAATCGGTGAAGCTGTCATTTACATAATGTCAAATAGGCTTGATTGTGTGGATTCTTATGCTGTATGACAGGCTGTTATCTATAAAAAAAAAATGGGGACAACGTATGTTTCACAATCGGTGGGGTATAAATTTAGCTATATTAGCATTGTAGCAGACTTGAAGCCACATATCTTGGCTGATTGATAATATTTGGGGTAACTAGAATGAATTTATACAGTGAAACTGTTTAAATTAAAATGTTCAAACTATCCCTTTATGAGAAACCTGACCATTAATGCTAACTTGGCTATTGAATGGAAGCTAGCAGACACCAGTTAGCATGATGTCATTATGCTAATTGGTGACTTTTATTCACTGTTAGCAAATGTCTATTGTAGCATTTTACCTGCCAAACTATCACTTCAGTGTAAAACGTTTAGAAAAATTTCGTCTTCCACTCGGCTGCTTCGGCTCCTGATACTGTACAAACACGTTTCTGTATATTTCTGAAGACGCCACACGATTAAACACCCACAAAACTGGAACTGTAGATTTAAAGCCTCTCACTGCATGTCGAACACGAACATTTAGTTTTATTCGTCTTTTTTAAAAATATTTTTATGCATGACTGTACTTGATACTTTACAGTGCAATATTGTCAAGGTCACGAACTGCTAACATCCGTTTACGGGACTTTTATTTTGTCTTTTGATGTAACTGTGCATGGGTCGTTGATCTTCTGCTTAGACGTAAGATTTTGTGGTTAAAGCTAATGCTCTGCCCAGCAAGTGAACAAATGACTTTTTGTTTGTTTTGTTTGTCTTTATTTTTACTTTTATTTATAGGTTTATTATATTTAGTCTCTGGGCTTTTGAAGGATTATATGTGTGTTTTAAAGCTAAAATATGCTAACATAAGAGAGTCTAGCCTCAAAGGGGGTGAATTTTTATTTGATTCTGATTCTTTAGGAAGTGATTCAGTGAATCATGAAATCTAAATTTTTCTTTACAATTTGATTCCATTATTTTGGTATATATGTATTTTTTAAAGTCGGGAATGTTTTAAATTCTCAGACTAGTTTGAAACGTAAACGGTAAAACAAATATTTGTCTGTTTTTATTTTACTGTATAAATGGTTCCTCTAGTTGTTTATATATTCAGTCTATTTTAAAATGGGGAATCCCACCAAATTTTTCAAACCTCTATATGATTCAATACTTAAACAACTATAAACAAATTATTTTGTTTTAGGCTGAAACCTTCTCAAGACTATCATAAAACAACGTCTCAGACATCAGGCAGTGTATTCATAACCATTTCATGTAATAACTTTCTGTGAGGGAGCTTTTAGAGGTGGACGTCTGGTTCCTGTCACCACCACTGTGAACAATTCTGACTCGGTGGGTTTCTTTAGAACGGAGCGTTTCTCACCAAACCACTCTGAATGACTCTGTTTACATCTTAATGATATAATTATGCAGAAATTTTGTTCAATTGGTGGAATTCCCCTTTTAAAATGATTTAGAATTTTTACTGGTAAAATGTAAATTCCATGATTCAGTGAATTGATTCCTAAAGAGTCATTTTGGACATAATTGAACATTTGTAGAGGTTTATGCTCATAAGGAACACTGTATACCTGACACAGGTGCGCTGAGAAGTGTCCTGTTTTAGTACGTTCTCTTCATCTTCTTTATTTTCTTTAGTTACTTTTATTTATGTTTTATTAATAGTCTAATTAAGGCCTTACGAATGTGGTCTGTGTATTAATATTATGATTGTTTTAAAGGATGTAATAATAATGATGATAATGTGGTCATTTTGGACAGGAGGTGGACTTGATTGAATGAAAGATTTGGAATTATCATATGATTACATATCAATAAGGCACTGCAGCCTAATGCAGAACAACCCTCTGTATTTCCCATAATGCACCACAAACTCACGTCACAGATTAACGCACATTGCTCCGTTCTCAACAGTATTCTGATATAATTTCCCATTTTATATTGACATCATCTATTTAATTATTTAAAAAAGGAACAAAAAACTTGGTTCTGTGAACCATGACTGTATGTGGAGGAAAAAAAAGAACAAAGAATAAAAAGATGATCTAGAAATTCATAAATGTGTTGTTTATTAAGAATCTCCTACCTTTTAAAACTTTAAACTGACATCAATGCAGTTCTCTCAGTGCACATATGGAAATTAAACTGTGATGTCACAACCATGAATCCGTTCACAGATGATGGCCCATTTGAAGGAAGTGATGAGGCAAGTCTCATGCTTACACAGGACACACTTCTCGGGGGATGGGGTCACGCTTTTGATTGACAAGGTAAACAGCAAACATTGACTTGAGAGAACACCAGTGACTGAGATGATTGATGAACATTTAATATATGTATATGACATATATAATGAAGTATAATAAAGTAGAACTTATAACCTATAAGTGGAGCTTATAGACCTGGGTGTATCTTATCAGAATAAAGTGGATTGAAAGGGGTGGGGCTTATTCACAGGGGCAGCCTATCAAAGTAGGCGGGCAGGAGACATGGGAGACGCCTGGGTATATCTTATCAAAAGAAAGTGAACAAAAAGGGATGGGGCTTAAACACCTGGGAGTATCTTACAAGAAAGTGTCTGGAAAAGGGCGGGGCTTATGCATCTGGGTGTATGGAAAATGTGGGGGGGGAAAGGGTGGAGCTTATGCACCTGGGTGCATCTTATCAGAACATGAACATAAAGGGGTGGAGCTTATGCACCTGGGTGTATCTTATCAGGAGAACATGAACATAAAGGGGTGGAGCTTATAAGAATTACATGATCAGAAAAGAGTGGAGCTTATGCACCAGAGTATTTTTTCTGCATAAAGTGAACAGAAAGAAGTGGGGCTTATATACCTGGGTCTATCTTATCAGAAGAAAGTGTCTGGAAAGGGGCAAGGCTTAAACTCCTGGATGCATCCTATCAAAAGAAAGTAAACAGAAAGGGGCAGGGCTTATACCTCTGGGTGTATCCTATCAGAACACAGTGTCTGGAAAGGGGTAGAGCTTATACACCTGCTCATCCTATCAGGCTGAAGTGGGTGGGGACTATGCTATGGACACACCCTCACTAATGACTGTTTTTATCTGGAGAGAATAGAAATTGTAGAGTTTATGATGTTTGGGGTTTGTTTAGTGAGCGGAGCTGAAACTGTTCTACTGGAGAACCTTTATCAATCTCAGACAAACCAACCTGTAGAACAGAATCAGAACCTCTGTAGAGTCAAGAACACTTTAAACACAAAGTATCAGAAAAATACAAAAAGAAACTTCACTTCAAAATCACAAAAATCATTTTAATTTTGGAAAATGTGCTTAATTATACAGATAAAAACGTAAATTATGGGCTTTTTAAACTCGCGCGTCTGCCTGAGCTATATGAACATTTTTCTTCTTTACATAAGAAAGCAAGGACACAACCATTTTATAAGCACACATTATTTCCTTGCCGTCTAAACTATAATAATTAGGTGTAAACAAAAGTTTGAGTCTTGAGGAGTATTTACAGTGGGCACACAGCTAAACCGCCAGGAAAAAACAGCATAAATAATAGACGCTTTAACACAAATCTTCCTGTAAGCAGCCTGTGATCCTCTGAGAGAGAACATGAGACTTTCTAGGGCTGAACGGGCCTCTAATCCGTTCCCTCTATTACAGATCTCACAGAGAACAAATGCAGGAGCTGTTTCATTCCCGACATTCCGACCCGCCCACCTGTGTTTATATATTTCTCAAATAGCCACATACTGGATAACCCTCACTTTAAGTTTAAAGTGATAGTTCAACAAGCAAAAGTTCCTCCTCACTCCAAATGTAGTCAATCAGCTTAGACATGTTTGGTGCCTGAAGTTTGCTTCTGTAGTTTTATCGCTGAAGCTACGGAGCTAATATTGCTAACAGGTAATGGAAGCTTATAGCCCACCACTTAGCATTGTGCTAACGTGATTTTTAGGACGGAGTGCCGAAATATTACTTCAATATGTGATTATTAAAAAATTTCAATATTTAAATTAGCCAACCAGCATCAGCGAGCCAATAATCATGCTTGTTCTGTGATCTACAACAGACTGCCTGTCTAAGTTTACACACCTTAAGGACATGATTGATGTCAGCACTTCTTAAAGGGGAACTCCACCAATTTTCTAAATTCTAGCATAATTTAATGGTTAAGATGTAGATAGAGCTATTCCGAGTGGTTTTCCATTCTAATCAGTGGTGGTGATGGGGACCAGACGTCCACCTCTAAAAGCTCCCTACATGAAATGGTTATGAATACACTGCCTGATGACAGACGTTATTTTACAATAGTTTTGAGAAGATTTTGGCCTTAAAATCTATTCGTGGTGGAGGGATACATAACATGCAAGGTGCTATGAAGCAAAATAGTCCCCAAAGTTTTCTTTATTTCAGATTTTCAGCTATTTTCCCCATTATCAACAGTCCATATAAAACTCAGAAGACACGTGTAGGTTCACTGGTGGTTCTGGATAGTAAATAAAATGTCTATATTTGTGTTGCAGTCATGGTGACATGGTGTGACGCAAGAGACATGATTTAAGCATGATGTTAACTGGTGGGTATAAGCTTCCATTGCCTGTTAGCTACATTAGCCTGGTAGCTCCTGTGCTAAAACTAAATAAGCAAACTTCAAACACCCAACACGTCTCACTTAGAGGGGTGGACCTCAGGCTTTAAGTTATCCAGCGTTACTGAAATATCACTGATTGGTGAAATCCAGGTTTGGTATGTTTTCTTGATAAACTTCTTCAGTCTTCAGTCCATTGAGTGAGAGCGTGTGTGTGTGGAGCTCAGTGGAAGAGGATGCGTTTGTATTTGGTGTTGGGGATCTGCTCCCTGCTCTTTAATCTCCTCACCGCCTCCCTCATGTGCTTCGGCTGCAGAGGAGGAGTGTCGCCCCACTTCTCACAAACATCCAGCGCTACAAAAACACACAAAACACAAAACACACGTTCCAGCATGAAGAAAAACACATCTGACTGTGCACACTACTCACATACAACTGGATCATTTAAGCCCTGTCCAATAGAAATCTCCCTGGGCTTAAAGGAGCACACAACCTAAAATTAAAAATGTAACCATCACCACATCTGTTGTCAACACGCCTGCTCTCCTCCCACAGTAGTGCTTCAGTGCCTCTAGAAAGAGACTTTTTGAGGTTAATGATGTATACATCATCAAAGGACGTCATACATAAAAAAAAAATATATCTTGGGAACGCTGTATGGTACAGGCTTGCTTTCATTTTTTCCCGGAAGGTTAGCACTGTGTTGTTTCCAATGAGGGCTCCCAGTGTGATTGTACCCCTTTCAGAAGCTTTGTAATCCAGCCTTTTTGGAGATTTTGTTAAATAAATTCATAATGACAAGCACTGAATGTCTTCTGTGATTATTTTTCAATACGGAGAAACGAATAAGAGATGTTGTTGTTAGCATGGCTGATAGCTGTCCACTGACGACTTGGGTTAAATCTGTCGACCAGGCCACGCTCTCAACTCGTCCCCCAATCAGAGGGCGCATTCCTGACTCGCATCAGAGGCTGTGGTCCCGACTCGTCAATCAATAAGAGGCCGCCTTCCTGACTTGGCCGTGTTCCTGATTTGTCAACCAATCAGAGGCTGTGTTCCCCACTCATCCACTAATCAGAGGCTAATCAACGCTACCCTTCCAGGCAAAATAAGACTCTAGCACTCCCAATATTTATTCTTTTATGTACAACGTCCTTTGATGTCGCATATGACATCGTTTACCTGTAAGAGTTAAAGACTAAATCCATCTCCCCTCTGATGTTGCGTCTTGAAGGTGGTAGGAACTTTTCAATGGATTTTTAAAAAAAAAAATTTATTTTTTAATTTGTTCACTGGCTGGCTAATACAATAAGAAGGCAGATAGCTAAAGTTACTGCTACGGAAGCAAACATCACATCTGCATTTATCAGCCTCTATATCAGTATATTTATTTATCACTGTGCTGATATATGACAATGTGTGATGTATTTGTGCAATGAAAATCACTCCTGATCGTGAAAATTTGTCAGAAAGAGCAAATCAGGGTTAGAACCAGGCTAGTTTACACTCAGCTCAACTGTGAAATCCTACTTTGCTAGATGCTCTGCAGTATTAAATCCCTGTCTGTCTCCAAACCACATGGTTTACCTTCTTCTACGATCTCTCCAACGAACACCTTGGAGATGCCAGACATGGCAATGACGACATTCTGAGAGACGGACGATCCTGTAATGGACTGGATCAGCTGAAAAAGAGGAACAAACACTTCAAACTGAACAGGACACTTCAAACTGGACAGTCAATCAGCTGAGAAACAGAAACATGAAGCTGTTCTCACTCGTTTGATGGCTGCTTTAGGGAACGCTGAGCGTCTGTACATCTCGTATCGGTTCAGCTGCTCCTCCGAAAACGAAGAGACTAAAACTCTGCAGAACAATCAGCATTATTCACAAATTAATTCATTACCGAAGACACTCAAGAACACCACAAACACTTATTAATGGCTTATAAATATGAGCAGATATCACGTCCAGGGATGCACTTGTTGAGTACATATTTTTTTTTAGTACTCACAGATACCGTACTGAGTAGTTGTTAGCGTAAATGAGTGCAACAGTTAAATCAATAAAATCTTTATAATTTTAAATAAAGTGCGTTAGCTAGCTATGCTACATTAGTTATCTGATCGAGTAGAGCTGCAATGGAGAAGAGCAGGTTTTGTCCCGTTAGAAAAGCTCTTCTGTACAGCTGTAAATAAAGAAGGTTTCATACTTTTGATCCTCATCTGTCTCTTTCAGCAGCAGCACAGCGACAGCAGGAATCACATCCGAGGCTAATGTATCCGAGGAGCTTACGCTTCCAGTTTTACGTCTTGTTGGAGTCTTTTGATTGGCTGTAGCTGAATGTCCTCTAAAGTTGTGAACTCTAATTTAATATGTTCCATATATTGAGTAAACTGCATACTATGCTTTTTAAAGGAATTATTTGAGTGCATGTTTAGTTAGTTTTGTTACTAAGCTGTTCAATAGTCAGTGACGAACACATGACAATAAATGTTTACTGCAGCATCTGGACTTCCTGCCACCTGATAAAATTCGCTTCTCTTTTGCATAACTCCAATTCTGTGACCATATATTGGCTTTTGTTATATTAACTCTCTACTATTGTTTAGGTTGTGAGACTTCAAAAAACTGACCAATCTATGCTGGTCGAGGAGCCCAGAAGACCTGGTTGCTGATCTGTCCTTGCAAATAGTTACAACTACACATAAATGCATGTTTTCTGTGCTTTTTACGAACATTCAGAATGTGAATATCCAGCGCACTGGTCCACGCTTGTCTATTAGCTTTTATCTCCGAGTTTGTTTCTAAAGCCCTGCCTTGAATCTGAATCAGCAGAACTCACTGCATCTTCTGGATCTCATCCTCATCCACTTTGTGTCGTTTCTCCTTCTTCTTCTCAGGCTCAACCTTCAGCTTTTTGGACGGTGGAGGATGATGACCGCTGGAGTGGGCTTCTTCTTCGTCCTCTCCGGCTGCAGCCTCTTTAATCGAAATCTGAACACAAACCAGCAGATTTAAAATCACACAGAGATTTTTAAGATCGTCATATACAGAGTCCACCTTTCGTTTATTAATTTTACACTCAAAACAACCAACAAGTACTTATTATTCATTTTACAGTGTCAAAAAAACAGAAAACAGAACAGAAAGTCACACAGAATCCTCAACAGCTAAATCTAATCTCAGCTGTTTGAGTGTTCATTGAGTCACTCTTTATTACAGCTTCCATTCTTTTCAGGAGACTCACTTTCAGTTTCTCAAAGAAATCTGCAGACACACCTTCAAAGTCTTAGAATTTGAATTGTTGATCATTTTCTGAAGTAATCAAACACATTCAGTGATGTTGAGGTCTGGACTCTGGGGTGGTCAGTCCATTGTTCAGCTTCTTAGTTTGATGAGTCTCTCTCCTTTTCTCAGTGATGTGGATGTTTTCAGATCTGAAGCAGCTTGATTTTCTCCTCTCTCTCAAAGATGAAAGCTTTAAGTGCTGTCTGATGGGGGCAGTTTTGGTGTCTACTAGGTCTTCCAGGTCGTTGTTAGGAGTCACATTTTCTCTGTAGCTTTTAATCATTTTTTTGAACTCCAGTTTTTTCACTAACTTTCTAACTTAGTGTACTATATATACACTTTAAGATAATGTGCATGAAGTATATGTTGGCTGGGGGACCTTTCTGAACAGACTCTTTTTAATCTGATCTTTAGTTACAGATATTAAAAATCTAGCCTTTATAAGCCTTTTTAATGTTCAGCAGGAACCCTATCTGTAAGTGTGAGTGTTTCTAACCCCTTTGTCTTCCTCCTTTATGCTGCTGCTCTGTTCTGTCGTTCTCTGTGTTGATGAACTTTCTCCCTCCTCCTGTTTCTCCTGCTGTGGAGGATCTGAGCTTTCTACTCTGTCCGCAGGTTCCTCCACACGGCACGGATCTGCCATACTGCACACGGCCTGCAGGGGGCAACACAACAACAATCAAGCAATTTAGTAACAATAACAACACAATACAGTAACAATTTTAACAGAGTAACAACACCCTACACAGATCTGCCGTAGTACACACGGCCTGCAGGGGGCAAGACAACAACGTAAAACACTAACAACTTAACACAATAACAACTACAGCACAATATCGAACATGGCCAGGTCTGTTTCATAAAACAAGTTTACTTGCTCTTCCAGCTAAATTTAACCCTAGTTTAATCTAGCCCTGGATTTCTTGTCTCAGAACAGTGAATCTACCCATCATCCCCACGCCAACTCTGCACGCCTAACCTGCTCCAGGGCCGGTTATGTTCAGGATTTCTGACAGGCCACTAAGGGCAGAGCTCCTGACGGACCAGTCAGGGCTGGAATAACCAGGGCAGAGCTTCCAATGGGCCAATCAGGGCAGAGCTCCTGACGAACCAATGAGGGCAGAGTTCCTGCTGGGCCAATCAGGTCTAGCATGTGCACGTTGACAGTCATATATTTTTTTTAATTGCTGCAAATCATCAGTTATTAATCTGTTTAATATTACAAAAAATACAGCGACTATAAAAAAGGAGCAGCACAGCTATGATACAGTAACCCAACACTAAGAGCAAAACGATTCCAATACGATTTAAAAAAAGGCAAAATCATGAAAATTTTTACAAAACTGATCTGAATTTAAAACTCGCCACTAAGCTCACCCTCCTCCGTCTTCAATGGAAACCTCAAAATGTGGAAAAACATTTAAAAAGTCATTTAATTACAGTAAATGATCAGCATCACACTACTTAACTTAAAATATCATGTTGATATTTCAATTTTGTAGTGTTGCTGTATGATAATGATGATCATTTTTAATTTTAACAAAGAAAATATCAAACATCTAAACGAATCCTAAACTCTATCATGAAATATGTGTTCTATTTAGTTTGGTTCTAGTTAGACCTACGACATCTGTATAGAACCATTTGCATGCTTAAATCGTTCTTTGCGTGGTGAAAGGGTTCTTCAGCTTGATGGAGAATGTGTTGTACATGGTTCCAAAGAACACCAAAAAGGGTTCTGCTATAGTTGCTATGTCAAGCTTGTAACAATATAAAAACCATTTTCAAACATAGAACTTGTGGTTCTATACATAATAAGTGTCTTTACTGAAGAACCATCTTCTCTAAGTGTGTACACATCACAAAAATAGAACACAACAGAACACAATAACACAACATAAAACCACAGAGCATAAACACCTAATACAACAACGACAAACATCACCGAACAAGAACAAAACAACAAAACAAAAACTGTTTAAATTATATCATTATTATAAATTTCAAGCAGAGCCCTAAACTAACTTTACACAAACTCCTATAACTAAGCCTATAATCTACAGACGAAGCTGAAGTTCCGTTCCACCTTAAATAGTGCAGCAGTTCCATTCTGGCGCCCAGGCTGAACAAGAACTGCTGCACCATTTAAGGTGGAACGGGAAATTCGAGTGAAAGGCTGGCGAAAAGGTAGCCAAATTCAGCCTGTAATCCACTGTAAATGAGTCAGAAGGAGACTGAATAATTAAATAATAAATAAAAACTAAACGAATAACCGTTTAATTATTTAAACCACTGTTACAATCCATTTTAACGTTAGCTACATTAGCTGCTAAAATTAGCCTGCTAAACATTCACTGCTTTATTGGAAATTATTTCTCACCGTTCAAAGATGAAATCTGCTCACTCAGCGCAGAAACACACCTCAAAAAACTCAGCAGTATTTATAATAAAGTAATATGTGTAAAATACACGGGATAATAAATTAATCACCAACATAAAAAGCTAACGAAACAGCAGCCTAGCAGAAAACTGCCACTGTGTACATCTTCCGCTTAATATGTATTTCAAAATAAAAGTCAACGGCGGGCAGGGTATGTATGTATGTATTTATTTATTTATTTATTTATTGAATAACGTAGGTAGTTAGTTATTTAGTTCGTTTATTTTCGTAGCTCAATGTATTGTTGTTAATAATAACATGCACAATCATTTTGTGAAGTTTTACTTAGAATAACTGAAAGATCTTTAAAAATATATAACGATGATGATCGAGTAAAGTAAATAGGACAATGAAATGATAAATCCGCCACTGGAAAAGAGCGTTTGCCAAATGCAGAAAAATCATGTCAAGGTATATAAAGATATAAAAAAGAATAAAACATTCAAACGTATATATATATATATATATATATATATATATGTATGTATATATATATATATATATATACATATATATATATATATATATATATATATATACATATATTATATATACATATATATATATATATATATATATATATATATATATATGTATGCATATATATATGGACAGACAAAGAAAGAGAGACAGAGAGATAGACAGATATATAGATACATCTGAGATATAGATAGATAGACAGATAGTTATATAGATGATATTTTGTCTCGTAGCTCCAGTAAAAGCTGAAATATCTCAGCAGGGCTTCTCTAAAATCACCACAGAATAATTTATAATATTTCACCTCATGCTGAGTGGATGGCAGAGTGATGTTTGAGTAAAAAGCTCTGCCTGTTTCCCTTTGGGACTGTAAATGCAGAGCTGCAGGACTAAATCATTTATAATGAAGTGTCTTCAGTCTGATTTAGTTAAAGCTCACACAAAACACAGCCAAGAAGCACAATTCATCAGACTGATTTAACAGTAGAGCTGAGCAATACGACAAAACACAATATCATGATACTTCAGGAAGCTTTGTACAATACATGATGTGCCATGATATTTATTTTTTTCTCACATCTGTTCAGATAGAACAGATAAAATAGTGCCACATTTAAATATAATACCTAAAAAAAACTAAGGAAAGCAATTACTATTCAACAGTTCATACACTGTGCTGAACTAAATCCAATTAAACAGGACTAATTATGCTCTTTTTTTAATCAGACAACCTTGTGGGAAGTGCTTTTAAGCACTGATGATGTTCACGGTATACTCAGAAAAGCACATTGTGAGGTAATTTATCATGATGATGATAAATATTGTTGAATTTCCCAGCTTTGTTTAATAGAAATGATACATTTTTTAAATAAGTGTGTGAAATATGAAGCTAAGAATGATAAATTCCACATATTTTTTATTTTTGTTGGGATACATTTCTTTAGACTTTTATTTTGTTATTATTTTAATGAGTTGTTTATAATTTTAAAGCGTCAGTAAACACAGTTATCTGACAGTATGGAATGATGAGCACTCGGAGCAGAAATGAGGTTGTGGGTAAATGTGCTTCAGACTGTCATACACAAAATAAACAGTTATGCAGTTACAGACGGGCTAGAAATGTACTGAACTCATCTGATCAACAGTCTCAGAGTCTGTAGAGCGTATTCACAACGCAGCTCTGTTTATTTTACATTATTTACAGTAAATATTACGCTGTTATTATTGCTCTGATGTCTGACTGCAGGTCAGCAGGCTGGCGGGGATTTATTTCCAAATCAATACAGTGTAATAGCCCGTGGGGAAGAAGAGCAATTGGATTTATTGATCCCAACTCCCTCAATGGTGATTAGCTAATCAGTGTGATTAAAAAGACTGTCACATCTCTAAATAAATAAATACTTCATTAAATATAAAAAAAGAAACGAAGAAACAAAATATAGCTGAAAAAATAAAAACTACAACATTATAGAGAAATAAATAAATAAATGTGAAGAAAGAAGCAAAGTAACAAAATAAAAAATAAATATTAAAAAAATAGCTAAATAAATAAATAACACAAAATTTTAAAGGAAGGGAAAAACTCCAAACTAAAGAACTTTACAAAAAAAACGTTAAAATAAGTTAATAAATAAACAAATATATAAATATTAAGAAAGAAGCAAAGTAATAAAATAATGAAATGTAGACAATACCTTTTAAATTGCATAAACAAACAAACAAACAAACAAACAACCAAATAAATAAATAAATAAATAAATAAATAAATACATAGGCGAATAATAGGAAGTGACGTGTCAATGAAGGACGGAGGAAGTTTGTACGGCGAGATTTTTATTTCCTACCCGTTTTTCGACAAGCCCCGCCCTACTACACTGTGAGTGGTTACTAAGTTCTCTCTTTCTGTGCTGCGATTGGCCACTTTCTCCTGCTCGCGTAGAGTAGCGCCACATTCCCTGCACTGTGATTGGCTAATCTTTTACACGCACAGGCAGCCAGCCATTTGATTGGTTAGAACTACCGCGTCGACAAGGCCATGATTGGTTTATACGCTGACAATCCGCCATGCGATTGGCCGCTAATTTGAAGAGGCGGGTACGAATCAGGAGCCAATCCCTGCGCGGGAGGGCGGAGCTTTCCGGAATACGGGCGGAGAGTAATTTCAGCTCGGTGGCGCTGCTGGGAGGAAAGTTTTCCCGGGCGGGATTGGGAATACCGAAGGAGGAAGGAGGAAGCAGGGAGGAGGTCCAGCTTTGGGAGATATTTTGGTGTTTGTTTAGCGCCTCGGCTCGTGTCTGGAGGCCGGCGGAGGGCTGCTGTGTGCCGGGCGGGTCTCTCTCTCTCTCTCTCGGTGGAGATGGGGAAGGAGCAGGAGCTGCTGGAGGCGGCGCGCACGGGGAATCTGGCCGCCGTAGAGAAGCTCCTAGGCGGGAAGCGGCAGTCCGCTGGAGCCGCTGGAGCTGGAGGAGGATCCGGAAACGCTGGAGGTGGAAGCGGCCATGGGTCATCCTCACACCCGCTCTCCAGCCTGCTCAGGTAGGATTGGAGGGGAAGAAAGCAGCTTGAATGGAGAATTTTAGGAGAGTGAGAACCACAAAAGAGCAGAAACGGAGGCCAGGTGAATGGGTTCCTCAGAGAGAACCATGTAGGACCCTGTTGTTGCTTCTGGGGTCTTCCTCTGGTTTTCATCTGATCTTCATCTTGTTTTTATCTGGTCTTTTCTCCCATATTTAGCTTAAACATAATATTTTAGATGTTAATAATCCATACATGTCCTATACTGTGCATGGTACACTCTCAAAAAAGGTGGTTCTTTAAGGATTCTTTAGTAAAGCAGCGGTTCTATGTAGAACCATGAACACTCAGAGAACCATTTGCATGCTTAAGTGGTCCTTTGCATGGTGAAATGGTTCTTTAGTTTAATGGAGAATGTATTGTGTATGGTTCTATATAGAACCTTTTTGACAATGGTTCTGTATAGCACCAAAAACAGGTTCTTCTTTGCGTCATACCAGTAGCAATGGCAGAACCCTTTTTGGTGCTACACAGAACCGTTCTTCATCAATCTGAATAGCCATTTCACCATGCAAAAAACTATTTATGCATGTAAAGTGTTCATAGTTCTAAATAGAAACATTCGCTTTACTAAAGAATCCTCTAAAAAACATCTTTTTGAGGAGTTTGGTCTTCATCTGACATGTGTCCCCCATCTTACACGTAATATTTCAGATATTTAGAGCCCCGAAATGTTCTATGTCAAGCATGATAGAACACCAGGCTTCACTGGGAGGTTCAGATTGTGCTTAAAAAGAGCACAGAACCCATTAAAAGTTCTGCTGTTTCCTAATGGTGTCCAGTAGTCTCTATTGGGATTCTTTGTTGTCCTGATGGGTTTATTTAACAGGTGTTGTGATTCCAGGTGCATTTGATGATCTCCTAATGGGATCTAAAGGTGTTCTACAGGAAACTAGTGGCAACCTTTAAGCCAGTTCCCATTAGAAAGCAAATCCACCAGGATTTAATCCTAGTGGTTCTAGTGGTCTTTTTTCGGTAGGGCATTCATGTCCAGTCTAACAATGGTGACTTTTCAAGAACGTAGAACGTAGAACGTAGATTGTGTAAATGCTTTTCATCACACAGTAAACACCAGCAGCAGCACATCTGGCCAGTGGTGGGTCTTATGTTGCCAGTCTTGTGGATGAACATCTGTAAAAAGCTGTAATTGTTAGAATGAAAACACTCCAGTGATCTCAGGGATACCACTAGGTGGTAGAGCGCTGGAGCCCAAACTCCGTCTGGGATGCAGTCAGTTCCTGTCCAGACTTTTGGTCTTGAGGGGCTGAAGTGAAGTGTTTATGGAGGGCTGAAAAGGCAACACAATGTACAAATAAAAAACTAAGCTTTTAAAATATATTTATATTTTCTTATCAAAATGAGAGATGGATTGTTGACCGGGCCGGGGACCAGTGTCCAGGGGCCTCGGGAGACTTTGAGGCAGTTCAAATACCATGGGGACCATCCACTGCGGATAGAACTGCTAGATAAAAGAACAGTCCTCAAATGTGTACAATTTTAATTCTGCACTCTTAAAAGAAGGTTCTTTAAGGGTTCTTTAGTAAAAACACTGAGCTTCATTCTTCTGTAACTTCCTAAGTATGTTCTGGAGAAAGGTCCTAAGAAAAAGTCTACGTCAGATTCATGAAGTGATCTTAAAGGGCAGAACTGTTCTCACCTTTGTGCTTTTGAGTGTGTGTAGATTCTGTTCTTACCTAAGAAGAAATTTCTTCTGAGGAACGTTTGAAGAATGAGGCCCAGTGGTTCTATGTAGAACCATGAACAGTCAAAGAACCGTTTGCATGGTGAAATGGTTCTTTGCATTGATGGAGAATATGTTGTTAATGGTTCTAAAGCACTAAAAAGGTTGTTGTTAGAAGCTTGACATCGTCACAATATATTTCACCATTTTGGTGCTGTATAGAACCATATACAACACATTCTCCATCATTCTGAAGAACAATTTCACCATGCTAAGAACGATTTAAGCATGCAAGTTGTTCTGAGTGTCTTTTTTCCATCTTTTTTGAGTGTATCTTTCATTATTCAACACGTTTTATAACATTTTGTTGAAATCTGACCTGATATGCAGAGCTTGTGAACTGACGGACTGACAAACTACATTCAAGCCTGAAAAAATAAAACATCCAAAGCTTAATTTGAAACTGTGCATTTGAAATTGTTTAAAATTGAATTTGAAAATAACTTAAATTGCAATCATAAAATTGGTTAGATTCAATGTTCTCCCCAAATTGTTCAGTCCTGAACCTCCCCAGATTGTTCAGACCTGTAACAGAATCACTGCAACACCTGAATCAGTCTGTATTAAAACATACAGTCCCGCAGCCTTTAATGAACAATAATACAGGCAGTTATATTGGCATTATAAATATAATTAGCTTATGTTGCACCTCCACTCCGCTCTGCCTAGGGAAATGGGTCAGGTGTCTTTGTTTTGCTTCCTGGTGTGTCGACATACCTTTCCACATTAACTCTGCTTCCTTGGAACAAAAATAAACAGATGGATTCACGTTTTCTAAAGACATTTTATACATTTTTAGTTGTGGAGCTTGGAGAGATGGTTTGGGGCTCTTAGGAAGACTGTACAAATACTTTACAATTAGATTTTTTAACATTTCTTCCTTAAATTAGTGTTTAAAGTGTAATCAGAGTCATTCAGAGAGGTTTGGTGTGAGTTTATTTAATTATTATTATTATTATTTCAGATTTTTTTCTATTTTCCCATCATGAACATTCCGTATAAACTCAGAAGACACGTGTAGGTTCACTGGTAGTTTTGGATAGTAAATAAAATGTCTATATTTGTGTTGTAGTCATGGTTACCCCTGGTTCCTATCACCACCACTGTAACAGAGATGACAGTGAATGTCAGAATGACTGTGTGGATCTTTTGAACATTATATTATGTAATTATGTGAAAAGAGCATAGATTTTAATATACGACAGGAAGTGTAGGGGGTGATATGACTTCTATTGTTTCATTTAAAAAGTGCTATATAATGTTTATATGATCCACAGAGTCATTCTGACAGACTGTAATACATTACAGGAAGTGTAGGGGGCGATATGGCTTCTATTTTGTTGCACTATAAGGGAAGAAACTGTACAGACTGAACTATGAATGATGTGGGCAGAAGGGCTGAACGATTCTGGGAAAATATCTAATTGCGATTTTTCTGACCAATGCTACCATTGTTATTAAAATGCAGTTTTTTTTTAGAAATTAATTTCTGGGCCTGTTTTTTTGGCCAAGCGGGGCAGAATATCTGTTTTTTTGTGGTGTGAAGCTGGAAGAGAGCATGAGACTACCAGTTAGTTGTGATGTCACATACACATAACAGGGGTGTTTTGTTGCTTCTGATTAGTTTAACGCTTCTACAGCCAGTTCACAAGCTCTGTGTTATGTGGTTAAATTTTCTCTATTTAAAACTTGTTGGTAATGTATTCCGCAATAAATATTGCAGCCTATGTGGTTTAAAAATTACGCTCTTTTAAATTTTGATATAAAAACGATTCATCTTCCAGCCCTGGTTGACAGAGGTGGAGAGAGGAACTGACGAAGGAATAATAGTTCTGAACAGTACCTGATGGATTCAGTGGTTATAAAAGTTTGGGGTCTGATTAAAAGCTGGTAGTAGTGCAGCGGTGTCCTCAGACTGGCAGACGGTTGAAGGTGGTGGAAGGCCGCGTTGGCCGTGACACGGTTCTCGGTTCTTGAGTTAATTGCATTAAAGCGTCTTAATCACAAATCCAGAGTTATCTGCCGCGCAGAGCGTCTGAATGGAGAGACGAGGGACGAGGCCTTTGTGTCTGATTGGCTCACTCGCCCAACCGGCTGTCTAGCTGAGGGAGAGAGAGAGAGGGAGGGAGGCTGGGCAGTATGTGTTAGGGCTGAATAACCAAGCAATCAACAGAGAGAGAGAGAGAAAGAAAGAGAGAGAGAGACGCACACACAGATAGGGTCTGCTTGATCTGTTCCTCTTTAAAGGCTCAAGATGTTGTCAGTGTTGCGTATCAGTGCTGCATGTCAGTGTTGTGTGTCTGGTATTGTGTGTCAGTGTTGTGTGTGCGGTGGTGCGTGTGCAGTGCTGCATGTCAGTGTTGCGTATGTGGTGCTGGGTGTGCGGTGCTGCACGTCAGTGTCAGTGTTGCGTGTGCGGTGCTGTCTGGTGTCTCATGTCAGTGCTGCGTGTTCAAAGCCGAGTGTCAGTGTTGCACGTCTGGTAGTGTGTATCAGTGCTGCGTGTGTGGTGTTGCATGTCAGTGCTGCGTGTGCGGTGCTGCGTATGCAGTGCTGCATGTCAGTGTCACGTCAGTACAGCATGTGTGGTGCTGCATGTTTTTGTTGCGTGTATCAGTGCTGCATGTCAGTGCTGTGTCTGCTGCATACATGTTCAGTATTGTTGTTACGTGTGCTGTGGTTCAGTGCGGTGTCATGATAAAGTAATAATAATAAACATCATCATCATCATCATAATAATCTTTAGTTATAAAGCACTTTTTATGCCAGAGTGCTTTACAGATAGGTGATAAAGCTTAACAGAGTATTAATTTAAAATCGTATAAAACAATAACACAGATTAAACAGATAAAGACCAAAAAGACATGAAGTTTTAATGAAGCGCTGAGTTAAAGAGCTGCATTTTCAGATGTTTATTAAAAGTGAGCTCTGAGCTTGACTGTCAAATAAAAGGTGAACTGAGCTCCACAGTTTAGAAGCAGAATAACAGAAAGAGTCTCTCCACGTTTTTTGTATTTTACAGAAGGTGTTTGCAGAAGGTCAGTATCTACAGATCTAAGATCATAAACAGACAGACATTCAGGAGCTTTAAGGTCATTTAAAGCTTTAAAAACCAGCAGCAGAGCTTTAAAATCTCTCCTAAAAGATCCAAGCAGTCAGTGCAGTGTGTAAACAGGGGTGATATGAGCTCTCTGTGTTGGTGTTGTGAGGATCCGTGCTG